TTCTTCATCACTGTCTTCCAACCCTTCATCACCATCTTCATCTTCTCCTCCCCGTTCTTCACCACCCATGTCAGGAAGCAAGTAGCGCTTAATGGGTTTGGTGACACCTCAGCTCTGTTGCCTTCTCCTCACTCGGGAATGGCCAGTAACCCCACAAAGGAGCTCTCTCCCCTGCTGTCTCTTCCCGCTGGCTGCATTCTGTTTGATGGGAACAATTCATCAAATCCTTTCCAGATTGCCATTTGATTTCAGTGGACTTTCAAGATGGATTCACCACTCTCATGCAGATGGAATTATTTGGAGAGAACTTTATTTTCGAAGTAAGGTTCTTCATCAAAATAAAAATCTATTCTGTAACCCAATTAAATATCTTCAAATTCTGTCTCGTCAACTCTTGGCAAATAAATCAGGCCCCTCTTCAATCTCCTCCCTGAGCAGTGCTGACAGTTGTGAAATGTTGACAAATGTTACCCCCAAATTTGGGACTTTGGCAATCAATTCCTATCTCTTTTGAAAAAATGGTTGGCAGAGTTATACTTCTATTCAACTTTTATAGTCTCCTCACTGGCTTGTTTATTTTTATTTTATTATATATATATATTTTACATCATTTTTCATTTTTGTACAATGTATGCATTTTCTTCTCAGTTATAGTCCCCATGAAATTCCCACCACCCATTCACCCGTGAACCATCATCATGGTCCCTTGTGCTCTTCCCTTCCCTGTTTTGATCCTACTCCCTTCTCCCCGCCTGCAGTATGTCTCTGGTTTATAGTTGCCTTATGATTTTTTTAAAAGATTTATTTTTATTTATGCATACAAGAACTGGGGTGTAGGCCAGAGGTGTGGTGGGTGAGAGGATTCACCAGAGACAGAGTGGGGAGCAGGACAGGTAGATCTACTGAAATTCACTGCTGAGGGGAGCAGCAGACAAGTTAGGAGAGGTCTGCTGTGCCATGTGGGTCAGCTCCCTGGCCGGGGATCAAACTCATGCTGCAGTGGCTGGTGATAGCTTAGTAGCGCTCAGACTTAACCCCTGCGCCACCAGGGAGCCCCACACTGGCTTGTTTATTAAGTCTCTTTTATTTTGTACTTCAAGAATACATTCAATTGCTTCTTGCTGCTCTTTTTCTCTCTTTTTTATTTTTTTTAATTTTTATATCATTGTCTATTTTTAAACAATATTTGCTTCCCCCCAATCCCCTCAAGTGTAAGTTCTCCTCCACAATGTCCTTGTGGTTGGAGTTGAACTCCTTTGTATTGGTTTTGGCCCAGGTGCCTACGAGTTTCTGCTCCCCTGTAGGTGGTAGGGAAGACCTGGGTCCAGCTACCTCCTCCCAGAGTTTGCTCACTGGCCCAACCCCCACCTCCCCCTTGGGTCTGAGGAGGGAGGGCTGGGCTAGCTGCAGGCACAGGCCCTGGCTTCCACTTACCTAGGACAGGCAGCAGAGGCTGTGAAGGCACTGTGGCTGCCTCACACGGGCTGGTGCTTTTTTTTTAATTTGTTCATGTATGTATATTTTACATCAGTGTTCATTTTTAAATAATGTTTGCTTTTTTTTCCCCCCTCAGGTGTAGCCCCCATAGAATTTCCTTCACCAATTCACCAGTGTGCCATCACCATAGTCCCCTGTGCTCCTCCCTCCCTCCTCCGATCCCCGTTCCCCGCAGGATGTCTCTGGTTTATAATTGTCTATTTGTTTTTGTTTTGTTCTGTTTTGTATCATTATTTTTTCTCCTCATGTCTTATTTGGTTCCCCTATATTCCTCCTATAAGTGAAACCATCCGATATTTTTCTTTTTCTTTCTGACTTATTTCAATGAGCATAATTCCTTCTAGCTCCATCCATGTTGCTGCAAATGGCATGAGTTTATATTTTTTGATTGCTGAATAGTATTCCATTCCATAGTATTCCATTCCACATCTTCTTGATCCGTGCTGGTGCTTTGTGCTCTAGCTGGCTGGTGGCTCTCCAGAGTGGGCTGCACCACCATTGCTGCCTCGGGGTGGGTGGGTGGTGGTGGTGGGCAGCAGCCAAAAGTCTAGTTCTTTATCAATAACTTGTTTATACATTTGATGACTCTATCTAGTTCAATATAATTTGCTTGGGTCTCCCCGGTAGCACAGTGGGTTGAGTGCAACCACTGCAGCACGGGTTCAATTCCCGGCCAGCCAGGGAGATACCCACATGGTGCGGCAGACCTCTCCTGTCTTGTCCACTGCTCCCCTCAGCAGTGCTTTTGGTCAGTCTGCCTGTTCTGCTCCCAGCTCTGTCTCTGGTGAATCTTCTCACCCTCCCAAGCCTCTGGCCTGTACCCCAGCTCTTGTATTAATAAATAAATCTTTAAATATATATATGTGTATATATATCTATCTAATATATATATTATATATATAATATATTATATATATATTAATATATATAATTTGGGAACATTTTCATCGCCCCTGAAAGAAACTCCATACCCATTAGCAGTCAATCCCTATTATCTTGTTCTGCCCTCAACCCCCAACCCTACACAAGGACTAATTTACTTTGTCTCTAGAGATTTGCCTGTTTTGTATATTTCATATAAGTTAAGTCATATAATGGGTGTCCTTTAATGTTCGGCCTTTTTCACTTAGGGTAATGTTTCCAAGGTTCCTCCATGTTGCAGCATATGTCAGTAGTGTCCTTCCTTTTGTTCCTGAAAAATTTTCCACTGTGTGGATATATCACATTTTGTTTGTTCAGTCATCAGCCAGTGATAATTTGGATTGTCTCCTTTTTGTGGATATTATGAATAATTCTCCAGTGAACACCCATGTATAAGTTTTTGTGTGGATATATGTTTTCATTTCTCTTGGGTATATACTTGCATACATACCTTGCACCATTTTGTATTCCCAGCAGTGTATGAGGGTTCTAATTTCTTCACATTCTCTCCAACAATTGTTATTATTTGTCATTTTATTATAGCCATTCTAGTGTGTACAAAGTGCTATCTCACTGTGCTTTTGATTTGCATTTCCCTGATGGTTCGTGATATTGTAACTTTTTTTTCATGTGCTTATTCATCATTTGTATATCTGTATTGGAGAGATGTCTCTTCAAAGTCTTTGCCTGTTTTTAATTGGGTTGTCTCTTTACTACTGAGTGATAAGAGTTCTTTATATATTCTGGATCTTATATGTTATTTGCAAATATTTTCTCTGATTCTGTGGATTATCTTTTTTAAAATTTTATTATTTTATTAGTTTCAGTTTTTTTCATCTACAGTTGTAGATTAATACCACATATTATCACATAATATGTATATAGGCAATGTTTATTATTGTAGAATTTAAGAAAAGGATTAGAAGTAAAAATTAAACCTTTTGATGGGGCCTCCCTGGTGGCTCAGGGGGTTAAGACGCAGCACTATAAAGTAATCCACAGCCACTGAAGCACGAGTTTGATCCCCGGCTGGGGATGTGACCCACATGGCCCAGCAGACCTCTCCTGTCTCACCCGCTGCTCCCCTCAGCAGTGTATTTCAGTCAGTCCACCTGTTCTGCTCTCCACTATCTCTGGTGAATCCTCTCACCTCCCACTCTTCTGGCCTGTACCCCAATTCTTGTATGGATAAATATATCTTAAAAAATAAACCTTTTGACACTCTGGGGAACAACCTTAAGTTTTGGAATTTGAAATTCTTCAGCATACTTGAGAAAAACTTGGGTCTACATGATTTATGATCTTAAAATTTTCTGTGGATTAACAGTTTACTTTCTTAATAGTATTATTTGAAGTATAAAGATTTTTACTTTCAATGAAGTCTGTTTTGGGGGATGTTTTTCCTTTTGGTGTCACATCTAAGAAACCATTGCCTAACCCAAGGACATGAAGATTTATCTCCATGTTTTCTTCTCAAGTTTTATAGTTTTAGCTCTTATATTATTAAATCAATTTTGAATTTTTATATGGCGTGATATCCAATTTCATTTTCTTGCATGTGGATATCCAGTTGTTCCAGCACCATTCATTGAGAACACTGCTTTCTCCACTTGTCTTGGCATCCTTGTTGAACATTAACTATACATGTGAGAGCTTATTTCCAGACTTTCAATTGTATTCTCATATTTAAGTGTGTATGTGTTTGCTATGTTCAAATATATATGTAACATTTATCTATTGTCTATCCTTAACCTGGTACCATGCCGATTTGAATACTGTAGCTTTGTAGTAAGTTCTGAAATCAGGAAATGTGAGTTTTCCAGTGTTTGTTCCTCTTTTTCAAGATTTTTTTTTTCTTTTGGCCATTCTGGGTCCCTTACATTTCCGTAAGATTTTTTAATATGGGCTTGTCAGTTTGTGGAAAAAAAAATTGGGATTTAGGAAATCCAGGTTCTTACCCTGGTGTGGCATTTTGTAGAATCCTAGTCTAGCCTTGGTTGTCTTACCTACTAAATGTGATTAATAACTGGTTCCTCCAGGGTCACTGATAGACAGAAACTCAACTATTTTCAGTCCCAGCTTTAACCAATTTTGTATCAGAGAAGAAAAGTTCTTCCACTTCAGAACCTTCTGGAGGGGAGAGGAGTATGCAATGTATGTGTTAGGGGGCAGATTATAAAAATCTTCAGGGTGCTTTTACTTTTAGGTATCTGTTTAGCAGCCTGGGATGTACTCCTCCACTTTACCTCCTCAGTATCTAATTCATTTCACTAAAATCTGGATCCTGAGAATTGGCTCCTAGAACAATTACAGCGGCAAGTATTTCCCCACAGGATTGTCCTGAGCTTCAGCTAACTTTTGGAACATCTTGTGGCAATCCTTTTAGTGTTGTGATCAGCCTAATGGAGATTCATGGTGTTGTGCTGCTGCTGTTCTCCCTCACCTGCCATTCCTACATGCATATGGCTTTTGTAGAGCTGGACGAGCACCCAAGCCCACCTTCCCCCAATTTCCACCACCACTCAATGCCCCCCATGCTGAGGTAAGTGATGAGACACTGGTGTTCATTATGTTTATCCATTTATTAAAATATTTTAAGAAGCAAAACTTTATTAACTTTGAGGACTGGTGTTCCATTTTTGCGGGGAGGAGGAATAGGCACACTTCGTGGACCTTTTCTTTCTGCTTTTACCCCGTAACTGCCCCAGTTTCCTCCCCCAACCAGCCCCTGGCCCAGCTGCTTGTTTGCAGGGACCTCTGAGGAAACAAACAAGAACAAGAACAAAAAACAATCAACAACATGGATTACAGATTAACAGACAAATAGACAAATGCAATTCCACAAACCATATAGCCAATCAAGGTCTTTTATGGGATGCAATGGCACTAATGGGTTTGGTTGCTTTGGTATTAGTTTCTATCTCTTACGAAACTAAAATTCTTCTACTTGTGTCCTGAATGTTTTTCCTTCCACTGTTTCTTCTGATCAACCTTTAACCTTCTCTATTACATTGAAAATCTTTTTTCTTCCCCTCTCCTTTTTGGACACAATAGGGTCTTCTTGGAGGGGAGAACTGACAGCTGTTGTCCTGTAGTATTGACACCAGAAGCAGTTGGTGGTGGTACAAATCTATTGAAATTCCCCTTCCCCACTGTTCTTTCAGCCAGGAATTGCTCACTTAATTCCACAGAAAGTGCTACCAAAGATACAACCAAACCCCAGAGCTTTGCCTCTTAATGGCATCTCTGAACATAACTGAGGTGGGTATTTGGTGTCTGGTTCCACCACACTATTAATTATATCACTGCAAATAGTTAACCATCAAGTTATGAAAGGAATTTAGGCTTCCAGAGGCTAAGCCAATTCTTTCAAGACATACCACTTCTCACTTTGTTTCCAAGCTGGTATATGCAAGAGCAGGTGCTCAGCAAGCCGTCTTCCTTTTGGGGAAGCAACTGGTAACTAAGCAATTTAGGAGGTGACCAAGTGTTTTAACAAGTCACACCTGCTCCTGGGCCTCAGTAGTTGTCATTTCTCTTCCATGAGTGGACTTTAGCCCCAAATCCTAGTAGTTTCCTTCGATATTCTGACTCAGGGTGGGAGGACAGAGTGGGTGTAAGGGAATAAAGATGGTACAACAGAACAACAGAATCATTACAATACACAAATGTATAGTAATTCAGCAAAATAAGCACAAGAGATGGAGTCCTATCACAGTTTACTATCATTGGTGATAAAAATAACTACAAGACATAGTCCTGCTTAGGCACTGCCAAGATAAGGCTACCCTCTCCCAGGACTTACTTCTGTTTCCTTAAATTTGTCCATCTGGCAATTTTCCATGTTGGAAAAGGCCCTTGGTTCCCAACTCTGTGAGTGAGTGTGTGCAGGTGTTAATGTGTGCAACTGCAGAGGTGGCAAGCTGGCGAGCTGGGCTGCAATGGTGACCTTGCTGATTTGATCTAATACCTCCTCCTGGGAAGAAAGAGTGATGCAGATAAAGCTAAAGACACAGCAATGGTACACTCTCCACTCAAATATGTACAGTAAGTTAACATATTCTGATGCTTAAATAAGTTTTAAATGTTTTCTCTCATCCTTTTCCATTAACTTTCTTCTCTGGTTGTAGAGCTAGTGCTTTTGTTTGTTTGGCACAGCAATCAGACATTTGGGGACAATCCCCTTGTTAGAATTTTTCTCCTCACCCCTGCAGAGGTGGAACACAGGTGGCTGGTTTAAGTGGTCTAGGCTGGTGGAGTTCCAGAGCTGAGAACCAGTGTTTGGAGTCTGAATTGTGCACCTTGATGAACCATTCACTGGACTGAGTCAGGTAATTGAGCACGCTATGTTTGAGAAGTGGGGAAAGGCCAGTTTTCTGGCTTTCTTTTGATAAGTGGGAAGGGTCACTTACCCAGAAAGGTCTCAGTTGAGGGTGGAGTGGGGATGCAAGGCAAACCAGAGAGAAGCTCTCTGGAAACTGGAATTTGTTTCAATTTGACTGGGAGCAATTATTTTAAAAATGGGGATTGGTATTTGGAGCAATTTTAGACTAGTTGATTTTCATGAGAATTTTGGAAGAAGAACCATGGGAGAAGCAGAAGCTGTTAGATTTTCCCAGGCTCATGTTCTGGTCACTTTGCCCCTCTGTACTCTAGAGGAAGGGACAAGATAGAGATTCGAAGGTGACCTGGGAACTGACCCAACTGCCTATTCAGAAGATGCAGGCCAAGATGGAGCTTGTGGGGAAGGGCCTAGGCTATGACTTGGTTGACAGGCAGTCCCTAGCTTAGGTATCTAAGACACAGAGCTCGACGCTCCACGTGGTTTTTCACTGGGGGGAGGGGACAGCACAGGTTAGGGCAGTTGCTGATGTAAAATTCAGGACAGACAGAGCAAAAATGGCAGCATGCCAGCTTAGTCCCCTTCTCCAGGGCATTGGTGTTTTTATTCACCTTTCTATGGGCTGGCTCAGAATTTTAAGGGGGTGTCAGAGTAAGCTGGGTATAGGTAGAGTCCAGCTACTTCTAAGACACTGAAAATGCACCAAAAGATTAGAAGCTCCACCAAGAACTAGGGCAGTTGGTAGAGGTGTATGTGTGTGTGTTGGGTAGTAGGGATGGGGGACAAGATCTGGGTGGGGAGGGATTCCTGGATTAGCACAATAAATTATAGGGTCACTTAGAGGTCGAGTTGTCTTTTCAGTTCCATATATACATATACATATATATATATACGTATACATATATAATATATACACACACATCTTTATGTCTCTATACATAATCTATACTGCAGCACAGTGGTGACACCATTAAAATATCCAGTGAGAATGCAGGCAAACACTCCATGAGGCAAGCAGGCTAGTGTCAAGGTAGTATGAAGGGGCCTATGTGGTTGCCGTAGGGGTGAGTTCTAGTGAATTAGCTCACCCAGCCACCCGAGCACCTGGACATGTGTAAAGACATACATGTACACATGGAAAAACACAAAAGGTTTGCAGCAAGAGAAAGCAGTCACTGTGTCCACAACAGAGACCTCACACGGTCATTGTAATAGGTGAGTGGAAAAGCCCCCCAGGCCTAGTTCTCGTCTTCATAATTCAGCTAGAAGAGACATCCTGAAGTTGCAACTGGCTGGGATTGGGGGAGAAACGACCGAGCCTGGCTGTCCTCACCCCTCTCCTCATCTCCCTGAGAATATTTTTCACTCATTCCCTAGCATCAACAGTTTCTCTGCCAGTCAGAGAAAACCATTTCCAAACTCCCTGAAGAGATGAACTTGAATTCCCTTGAATCTTTTGTAGAACACAGGCCATTCATAAGAGCATATCCCAATTAAATACTGAAGTTGCTCCAGAGGCACAAAGAGGAGAAATGAACAAGACAACTCAGAACAAGAATCTTTGGCCAATGAGAAAATGCAATCCTCTAAGAAGACCTGATTGAGTCCAGGAAAAATGTATTAGTATAAAGAACTGGAGGGTTTTTCTTGGTGGTGCTCATGTTTGTTCTGGAACAATTTAGTCTAGCCTGTATTGAGGTTTGTAGTAGAATGCTAAATGTTGTGAGTTCTCCTTCCAGTTTTCAAGACTACAGTTGAGATCTTGATGATGTTGGAGGATCATCATCTTTTTCTTTGTCTTCACGACTTCTACGATGCCACAAATTTCCTTCAGAGAAAAAAACACAAGGAGAGTAGTAAGGTTAGCACATTGTGGGATGCCTAAATGCATGGGCTCTCAAGAGCAGAGTCTGCCAGTTGATAGGTTGGTTGGTTCCTGTTGTACCTACTGTCTCTGAAGCAGCCAAGGAAGCAAGCTAGCACCAAGTTGAGCGAAATGCAAATGAGATGGGTTCTCAGAGCCTGACGAGTCCTGGAGCTGCTACTGACCCCTTCAGAGTCTTACGGAAGACTCTTTTTAAACACCATGGCCACCCAACTCACAGAGTCTTGGGCAATCAAACCACTTTGATCAAACCTGAGAACACACAGGAGATCCTTGGCATCTATACAAGCTCTCAGTTCCTTGAGACCAAAACAAATTGCCCCTCTAAATCCCTCTCCCATCATGTCCAGTGTCCCTGTATCTCTCCAGCTTCCAGACTGTCTAGGCCCAAAATTTAAGTGAGACCATTAATATCAGAATTGGCATAACTGAAAACTCTAAGAGAACCTTCTTTTGAGCCCCACTGATATATCAGTAATATGTTCAAATTCAATTATGAAGAAGGGATGGAACTGACATTCAAATAATGAAACAGAGACTTTGCATTTCCACGAATTTGCTCTAACAGATCTGGGATAAAAGTTTTTATCACAAAGCCTGTTCCTGACCATATAGGTGCCCAGCACTGACAGTCCCAAACCATCTCAAATCACACTGCTTTCTGGAGCAGGTCTAAGAGCTGGAAGAGAGATCTAAATATGACAATTTTGCCAAACTTTATCAACTGAGGACAGGAATGAGTCAAGCAGAAAAGTGACCGCCTCTTCTCAGTTTTCTCTTCAGCTGTCTGCATCACGGATCGCACACAGCAAGGCTCCTCCTCAGGTATTCTCCTGTCCATGTCCCTGTCACTTTCTAACACACCTGGCCCAAAAGACCACTTGGACCATTGCCCAAGGTGGGCTCCTGGCGGGTTTCCTCCTCCATCACCACCACACCCGTGAACATTTCCAATGGGATTTTTAGGTTTTGGGGAAGTAGCCAGGCTGCTGGCTTCGTGAACCCTACACCAGTTGGGGGAGACTTACCAATCAAACTCTGGACTCCTTTGCCTGATTTGGGCTTGTCTTCCCCATCTAGTTTCTTCTTCCCCAATTTGGGGAACTTAATTTTTAATCTGAGGCTTCTACTGTCCGTGTCTGGAGACTTTCCCTGGAAAACCGCAGCGAGAACAGGGTTAAAATGTTAGGTGCCTAACATTCAGAAACAATTATTAGCAACCTGAAAAGGTGGTAAGTAAGAATGGCAGCTTGAAAGCAGGCACATCTGCAATCTATCCAGGAGTGAGAGAAGCACTGCTCACTAGCCCATGCCCCAGGAATGCAGCTGTCGTCACCAAGATCCCCCTCTGTCCCAGGCACTTTGCTATGTGACTATTATCATCCCTATTTTAGAAGTGAGGAAGCAGAGACACAGAGAGGTAAAATATTTCTCCTGAGGTCTTCCAGCTGGGTATTAGAAGGTTGGGATTGCTGGGGCCACTGCTAGCTCATATGGCGTCTTTGCACAAGTTAGAAAGAGCACCCTTTCTATCAGGCATACAGTTTGGTGAGCCTCAACTCACTCCATTGGCCAAATATCTTCATATAAAGAAGAACCTTCTCCAAGGCCCCAGCGGTGTCTCTGTATGAACGCAAAGAGGGTTCTCTACACATAGCTTTTAGTTGTGAATAGGGATTTTCCGCTATACACATCATGCAGGCTCTTTAACTCCAGATCAGCCTCTCAGGCCTCTCTCTCTCTTGCTCAAGTGTGCTTGTTTTAGTCTCAGCAAAACATATTTCTGAGGTTAACTTTGTTGCCAGAAATTCCTGTGAAACATAGTCCAAGAAACTTTGGGAACTTCTTCAAGATTATTTATACCTCTGGCCCCTGTGACCCCTTCATTAGGGAAAGGGCATAAACCTATCTTCCTCCTCTGACTCCCATTTACCCCCTCTCCTCTAGGTTATGTTCCTGGCTTTCAGAATTACCTTTTGGAAACACACAAAACAAGGGACAGAATCTTCCCCCTCAGCAAAGCTTTGGAAAGCCCAATAAGGTGCTCTCATCCTGTTTTCCCCCACATCCGAATCTTCCGTGGCCTTCAGGTGAGCAAGTTTGGTGTCCAGTGAATGAGCAACATCCTCCTGGCTTTCTTTTCATTTGCTCGGCCCTTCTTTAGAACCTCATTTTTTTTCATCTTTATGGAAGTACCAAAGCTCAGAAAAGAATTATGCCCCAGGCCAGGCAGACTTACATACTGAGACCTCAGAGCATGGAATGTTTGTCTCATTTTTCTCAATATCTAGCCCATGCTTAGCTCAGGAGCCTGGTGAGAGACAGTTTAACTGAGTAATAATAGAAGAGAGTGTTACAAGGAAAACAGCATGTTTTCCTTCCCCAGACAGCTACTGATCAAAAGCAGCAAAGTCATTAGCAAAAGCACATGAAAAAGTTATTAAATCCTTTGAGACCTCAATTTATATATGGATTTTCTCCTCTTAAATGGTAGCCTGATTGCCGTGCTAGTCCAAGCATGCCTGCACGGCGTACTCACATGCACAGTAACATAGTAGGTGTATGGAACCAGGCAATGTGTATGTTGAGTATGGGACTCAGGGATTCCTACAGGTTGAAACAAGCAGCTCCATGGTAGGAAAATTTGAAGAAGAACCTATTGGACCACTAAGGGAGTCAGTACCTAGTGATGTGTGGACATCTTTAGGTCATTAGATTTATGAAATAAAACTATTTTTCAATCTTAGAAAAGCACTCAAGAGTTGCCCAAAAGCAGCCGCATCCCTACATATACGTTGTAGTCACTCTGGCCATGCTTGCTTTTTGCAGCCACACAGCTGCTGGAGGAAGGCGCGCTTAGAGTCTACTGTCCTCCCAGAGGGGGAGGGACCGGAAACAGCACGGAGAGGTGATATTTGGAAGACTGAACCATCAGTGTGGCCTGGGTAGCAACCATTTAGAACAGATATTGCATGTAGACAACTGACACAGCTGTAACGGTGTGTGCCAGATGAGATTCAGTCCTGTCCTCAGGTACTAAGCGGGGAAGGAGATACATGGCCAAGTGAATGCACAGAAAAGACAATCTTACTTTTTCTTTCCCAATCATCTCCTACCACAGAGCAATCCTTCTTTCTAGGTATTTTTCTAAGTTTTCAATGTGCTCTTTGCCCTGTCCTGTCTATGTGTGACTAGGAGATGGGGGAGGAGCCTCCATTAAACTCAAGCTATAGGTCACTTCTAGACTTCCGCTGTACAGCAGCCACCGTGCCCTGCCCCTCCAGAGGGTAGGGCACCAAAGAAGAGCCCCACTTCCCTTTCATTCCCTGGTCTCCAGGCCACATACCTCTGGAGCAAGGATAAAGTTCATCCAGTCAATCTCAGATAACTTTTCAAACTCCTTATTCATGGCATCCAAGGCAGTTTGCAGTGTGGTCTCATCCTCAGTATTTCTCAGCTGGTGAAGACAGGAAACAACATGTTCACAATCCAGCATCCTCCTTTCATCGACTCCTGCCCTCTACCTTATTTCCAGGTCCCTGCTAGTGGCCATGAGGCCACAGGGAGCCAACTTGTATCTCTTTGGGCCTTGGCATCACTGGAGTGTAGCCAGCTCTTTTATTTCTCAATAAAGTGAAAGAGGAAACAGCTAGATGGGGAGTTTTCCTGGACACTGGACATGCTTACAGTTTAGAAAGCGGAGTCACGTCGACCAGTTATACCCTTACAGTTTAGGGTCTGAAACAAGGGTTCTACACTTGACTGTCAGTTCCTGGAGACATCTAAGTATCTCCCTAAAGAACAGCTACCAATTTCTGAGCATATACTGTAGGCCAAGCACTGTGCAGCACACAGAATAGGTGTGTACATGTGCTGGTGAGATGGGACAGAAGGGGTGTCAGGTAAAAGTGGCTATCACTTCAAGGTCAGAGGGGACGCTACAGGGAGCTCATATTTACCAGCAATGCTCAAGTATATCCCTTTCCCCCCACTCCCTCAAATGCTCGAAAGGGACTTGGTTGTTAAACTCAAGACGAGAGAGGAAAGAGGAATCTGGGGCCCTGGAAAATGATTGCTAGTCATGAAAGCCTGAGTTTGGGTGAGAGGACTAAACGGGCTTCCGACATGGCGCCTAGAGACTCACTCTCTGGCAAATGGTAGATGGGTGGGCTTGGGTCTCAGGCTCTATTCTCTGGTCCTTTAAATGCTAATGAGGACCTTCCAGTTCTCGCTGAGGCAACTATGCATGTCGATTCTATGGATTTCAATGGGTCTGTTCTTTATTTCCTGGTTCCCGTCCCAGCGCATCACGAACCACGGCATCAGCGAGGTCGCCAAATAAAAGAAGTGGGAATTCCTGGGTGGGATTCACTTCTTCATAAAGCTACATCTCTCTGCCAACACTGAGCTCCTTACTGCTGTCCTTCTTCAAAGGGAAGAGTAATAATACCCAAATGAAATAAGAAGCCTTGTTTTCTTGGCACACTGATGTAGTCTTTCTGAACACACGGTCACTTTTAATTCCCTGCTTTGCCCTTTGGCCTGGCTGGAATGTGTGTATGTGCATGTGCTTCCTTACCAGGTCCTCTCTGAGGTATGGTATGTGTTCAGTTTGGGTTGTTGGCTGGCATGAACCAATTTTTCTGCCATGAGCCTCAAGAAAGCCTGAGTGTGGATGAGAGAATAAGCTCCATATTTTCTGCTTTCCAAACTGGCAGGGCCGCTGAGCTGCAATATCTACATATACATACATATGATCAATAAATTATGTTGCTGTTGACTGACACTCAGAGACTGTAGCCTGGGGTTTGGATCCTGGGATAGTCTGGCCTGATCGCCTTAGCCACCTGTGCAGTGGGCCAATTATTAGATATGCAAATGGAAAAAGGGAAGTGGATGCATTACTTGCAATATCAGTTCAGAAGCCCCTCTTCAAATAAACCTTAATTGCAGAAGCAAACACAGCGCTTGCCTCAGGACATCAGCAGCCAGCCCCAAAGGGGGTGGTCACGATCATTTGACCCCCTCAGAGCACACTCACCAAATGTGCCTTAGGGCTTTGCATTATGAGAAACTTGCAACTGTTCTTCTAGCTCAGAAATGTAGCCTAACCCTGTTTCTCCTGACACTAATGACATCTAGCAGTCACCAGGCTGCTACAATGTGCCAGGCACAACCAGGCACTGAAGCTACAATAGTTCATTTAATCCTCACAACCAGGAGTGGTAGAGATTATAATTCCTATTTTGTAGACAGGGAAACTAACACCCAAAGAGGCAAACTTACTCTACACAGCTTGTGTTATGGGATGAATTGTGTCCCCCCTCATCCCCCACCCCCCAAAAAAAGATACGTTGAAGTCCTAATAATTAATACCGCAGAATGTGAACTTATTTTGAAATAGGGCCATTGCAGATGCAATTAGTTCTTAAGATGAGGTCATATGGGAGCGGGGAGGTCCCTGATCCAGGCCTGGTATCCTTATAAAAAGATGACCATGTGAAGACAGACACAGGGAGAAGACTGTGTGAAGACAGGAGATTGGAGTATTGCATCTAGAAGCCAAGGGATACCAAAGATTGGCAGCAAGTCACCAGAAGCTAGAGGAGGCAAGGACGGATTCCCATACAGATTTCAGAGGGACTGGGGCCCTGCCGACCCCTGATTTCAGGTTCTAAACCTAAGGAATTGTAAGATAATAAATTTATGTTTTACATTATCCAGCCTTTAGTACTTTGTTATAGCAGCTTTATGAAAGAAATAAAGCTAGTGAGTAGCAGATTTGGGATTTGAACCCAGGATCACCCAAACTTTCCTCACTACTCCAAACTCCCTTCCCCCACATGACAGAGGTGTTTGGAAACTTGGGATATACAGAGCAGGTCAAAAGAGCTCAGCCCTTTCTTCTGAAGCAGTGTCAGCTCTGACGAGAATGCCCTGTTTCTGGCTGGCCTGCTCTGAACCCAGCAGTCACTTTCCAGAGAAGAGGGATATATTTTCTTTCAAGCATATGGTGGTCCCTATGGATTAGCATAACCTATGAAATGTTACAATCAATGACAAGCCTGGGTGAGGATGACACACAAGGCTGCCAGGTAAGCACCAAAATATTCCCGCTTGTCCTCCAGGGCCCTACAACCAGGGACAGACTGTGACCATCTTCAGATGGGCTACTTTGCCCTCCCTTTTTTCAGCCCCATCCACTCACCAACTTTTCATCCAGGAAAGCTTTGGTGTCATCGTAGAGCCCTTTAAGACTAAATGTAACATCTACCGCATCATTTCTGCTTAGAGTCTGAGAGAAGAAAGGAAGGAAAAGGACAAAGGAGAGGAGTTTTTGGTTAGTGAGCATGCAGCTGGGTTCTCCATGGGAAGGTAGGAGCAGGCCAGTAGGATATGGTTGGAAGTGAAAAAGTAATCTTCAAAATACAGCACAACTACAATCGCATGGGCACCAATCAATCAGAACTGATGCCAACTCCCAACTACTGGGATAGATGTACTGGTGTGTCCTAGGAAGTGGCCCAGCACAACCTGGCATTTGGCATCACTGATTGAGTGCTGTGGGTATAGGGAGATAGGAAATATGCAAATCAGAAAGTAAATCTGTGGGCCCTTGTGGCCACCAGGCTAAAATCACCTTTCCCTGGCAGGCCCAGCCATCTCTCTTCTTGAAGTCTAGCCTTTGAACTCTAAGTCCTCCTCCTACTAAGAACTAGCCCTGAGGGAATAGTTAACCCACATTTTAGGAGGCCCTGACCCTCTACGTGGCCCTTTCATATCATTTGCCTGCACTCAAGTTACTGGTGGCGCAGGCGGTTGAACGCAGTGCTGTGAAGCTGTCCGCAGCCTCTGCAGTGCTGGTTTGATCCCCGCCGGCCATGGAGATACCCACATGGCAAGCAGACCTCTCCTGTCTCGCCTGCTGCTCCCCTCAGCAGTGTATTTCATCAGTCTGCCTGTTCTGTTCCCCGCTCTGTCTCTGGTGAATCCTTTCACCCTCCCACACATCTGGCCTCAGTTCTTGTATAAATAAATAAATCTTAAAAAAAAGAATTAAAAAAAAGACTAAATCTTCTGGCAGTGCTTAAATTATAGAATGGCACATTTGTCATTAAGTATCCTAATCTGGAACTTTCCCTCAAAAGAGAAGCCAAGGCAGCCTGGAGCTCAGGTTCCAATGGCAGGCGCTACCTTGTCAAGTTATACAGGATCCACCTGAGGAAGAGTCAAGGCCAGGTTTCCCTCCATTCATTGGCCACTTTTCCCCTGAGCCAGTGCACCAAATGGCTCTCAGGGAAGAGGGCCAGCTCAGAGCTGATGACATCTGCTGCAGGATTTCCCCAATAGCCACCCTGGACCTGTAACAAGTCAAGGCAAACTTGACTTGTTTTTTCTGCAGTATCATTTGCCCAGTTGCTTTAACATGCGTCCGGCTCCCGTTCCTCCTCTTTCATCTCCTTTCCTATGTGGTCTGACTCCTTCCCTTCATCTGTCCCATCCCCCTTACCTCAATGGGAGTGCAGGAAGCTGCGCCTGCCTCATTGTCTTGACTGTAAAATGTGTCATTCAGGATGTTAGCACTGGCATTCACAGAATCCATGAGGACAGACACATGCTGGTGGACCTTGCTCAGGTCAGAAAGTCTGTAATAAAGTAAGGAAAGAGAGCGGGGTCTGTTCTCTGATGGACTTCTGGCTTGGGGTGCTGGTGAGGGTTGGAGTGAGGGTAGAAAAGAAAGCCCTGGGTGCCAAAATTGGACTCTTTACTCCCTCCTGTGATTTCTACTCATCCTCAGTAGCCATCTAGGCGAGAAAATGTTTCTACGCTTCTCTAGGTATTCACTTTTGTCCATCCTTTCTAGATATTGGGTGCTTTAGAAGAGCAGAGGACCAGAATGCAGGAGTATAGGTGATTCCTGCATTTAAGAGTAAGGATAAATATTCATAGTCCTGCTGGGTCTGCTGCAGCAGAAGATCAGAGATCATCCCTGGGCCTCATTAGTCCAATTTGGCATATTGCTGGGCACAAAGATGATTTCCTGCTGAATTGTTAGGGTCTCTTGTCAGTTTTCAGATCTGGGCAAGACTCCTTTCTGAGGCTCCCAGCAGCCAACAAACACACACTCACTTCTTCCTATCCTTCTTGGGATAGCCATCCTAGCTCATTGGCCTAGTTCACTTACCTGCTGATGAGGTTTTCTGCAAGCTGAGCTAAGTGCTGCATCTGAGCATATTCCTCATCTGAGAGGCTATCCTGAGATTCCTGGGAGTCCAGCTGGGGTTGAGAGGCAGCTTGAATTTCACTGTGCTTGCACTCCCACGTTTTCATTGAGTTCTCAAAGTCCTGGAGATGAAGACAGTGGCAGATCCTAATGACTGCTGTAGCTAAGAGGGTATGCGACAGGTCTGTTTGTGAGTCTAAGATTTTGTTATTTGTGGGCTCAGTAGGTAAAGGGGAACGAAGGCCCCATCTAGTCCCCCATATACCCATCTACATGTTTATCCATCCTTTTATCCCATGGAACTTTTAATTTGTTGTTGTTTCTATGTTGAGTCTTGGGACAACATGCTTGAATCAGACAGAGCTTTGTCTTCCAGAAACTCTTACATGGGGACATCCTGATCAATAAGACAGTAGAGCACCTTTCATGTTCTCATTTGGCAAATCTGGGCAATATATTGTTATGGACTTTTGGAGCCAGACATAATTTAATTTTGACTTGTGCTTCTGTCATTTATTAGTTGTATGACCTTTACCAAATTGTATAACCTTTCTGGTCCTCATTTTCCACACCTGTAAAATAGGAATAAGTGTATCTAACTCATAGGATTGTTGGGAGGACCTACTGGAGACAATACATACAAAGTGCCCGGCACAAGGGAGGCACTTTATAAACTGAACTTCCTCTTCCCTCTCAATTATTGTTTTGATGGACTGTCCAAAGGCTAGAGAGACTTGGAAGAAAGTTTCCAAGCTGTAAACATCTGACCAATATGCTCCTTACCAGGTTTAAATGGTTTAGCTGAAGGTGGTGATGATTGTGAATTTTAAGGAAACTTAGAAGAACCTAGAGAGCATGTCCAATGAAGAATGTCTTGTTGAAGGAGCAAATTTCTCTATCACCACCAGAGACATCAGAGGGCTATAGTTCTCTGTACAGTGGAGGGAGGACAACTTTGTCCAAAGCCATAGCAGAGATCTCCTTTTCTACTTTCTTGGACAGTGGTTTGCAAATGTCATTATGTATCAAAATGTCTCAGGGAGCTTGTTTACAAATGCAAGTTCCTGGCAAGTACCTATCCCTATCTGTTAAGTGAGTCTGGTGTGGGGCCAGGAATGTGCATTTCTAACAAGTGCCCCAGGGGATGCTGATGTAAATAGCTTACAGACCTCCCTTTGAGGAATTCTACTTGACTGGAAAGTATTCAGTGCTCCAGTGACAGCTATGCAGGAGCCCTAGATGAGCCTCTCCTTACCCGATCTCTTGTCAACATCTGGGCAGCGTTCTTGTACTTAATCTTGATAAGGCCTGGTTGCTGAATCCAGGCCTCCCCATCCACCTGCACTGGGATACCGTCTTCACCATCAATGCTTATTGTTACCTCACGGCACTGCCAGAGAACAGGGAGAATGGGGGAGAGAAATGAGGTAACTACAGCACACCAATTTGATAATCCCATAGGCATGCCTTTAATATGTATCTGAAGCTGGACTGGCAAGGATGTAAGTCAAATTATCCCAGGGGGGAAACACTTGTTTCCTATGGTCTCTGCCACCTCTGTCTCCAACCTTAGTTAGCACCTTTGCGGCCCACCAGATAACCTTCTCTCTCCATCCTGGCACTCTTGATTAATGGGATTACTCCACAACCTGGGGTAATCCTGCCACAGAGCTCAGCCTCTTTCTGATGCCCACCCAGTCCACCTACCTGGGCAATGCGATGATGATGTAAGTTGATGATACGGGACATTGCCATCTGCACTGAGCCAAAGATCGCCACCACCTCCAGCTTCCCATCATCTATTGCAGGAGCCTCATATTCCTGAGGAAGGAAAAACTGTGTCATATGTTCCGCCTGTGAGTAACCACACCTTGTCTATCACAAGCCAGTATGCTTTAAAGGCTCCTGGTGAGACTTTCTAGCTCATAAAGAGTAGACAAACTACATATTAAGAGGGGAAAGGTGAAGTCAGGAGCTGATTTGGGAAATGGGCACTGAGATCACAACTCTTCTCTTAATCCCTTTTGACATCCACATTTTAGCTGGTTCTCTCACTGTTTAATCTACCATCAAAAATCCGCAAGGCCAGGGCCTCCCCTGGTGGCACAGGTGGTTGAGCGCCGCACTGTGAAGCTGTCTGCAGCCTCTGCAGCATTGGTTCGAACCCGGCCGGCTGGCCAGCGAGGGTCCCACATGGCGCAGCAGACCTCTCTTGCCATGCCCACTGCTCCCTCAGCAGTGTATTTCGTCAGTCTGCCTGTTGTGTTCTCCGCTCTGTCTCTGGTGAATCCTCTTACTCTCCCGCACATCTGGCCTATACCCTGGTTCTTGTATAAAAATAAATAAATAAATCTTTAAAAAAAAATCTCCACAGCCAGACCTCATAGCCACATTAGCCTCATCGCCTTTTAGGGTAAGTTCAGAGGAAACGGTCATGGCCATTTTCTCAGGATATTTTATTAACATATCTCCCTGGAGGAAAAAAAAAAAAAAAACAAACAAACATGGCCTAAGTAACTTTTTAAAGATATGTCAGGCCTGAGGCATGGTAAATTCAAAGCCCAGACAACACCTAAGAATTGATCTAATCCTGATGTTTAGATGATTCTTATGCTTTGGGATGGTAACTGTCTAAAAGACAGATTATACAACTGCTGATTATACAACTCACTTCCTCTTACCCCATGTCTACTTCCTACTCCAGTCCATCCAGCTCTCCTTTCTAAGAGACTTTAGAGAGGGTCATTCCTTTCTTCCTCCCTGTTCCTTGTTCTAGACTCACCGTGGTTGCTGAGCTGCTTCCCCAGAAGTTGACTCCGCCAGCATAACTGGTAATGTTGAGCACTACAATACCTTGCAGGTTGGGCAAGGATATGGCTTCTCCATCACACTGAAAGAAAATAGTATCTCTCATTGGCTGGCTCTGCAGATATCAGTATGAAGAGATAGTTAAAGAGATGGGGAAGGGCTGTGTCTTGTCTTCATCCTATCATTTTCTTATCTATAAAATTGAGATCTATTTCCATAATTTCCTCCAATGAACTGGAGTGAAATGAGAGTTAAAGGTAAAGGAAAACTGATTTCCAAGGTCATGAAATTTCCTTTCTCTACACCCAGGAAGGACTGCCCTCTTTTCTACTAACCTCCAGGTGCACTCTTTCTTCCAGTTTCCTGTAAGAGCGCTGCAAAAGTTCCTTGCTTCCCAGAAGGCCATACCACATCTTGTTCTTAAGACGACTACTACAGAGAGATAAAGATAAGGAAAGGTAGTCAGAGGGTGAATAAGATAAAGATAAATAGATGAGGAAAAGCACAGTGGGACAATGTCTTATTCCACAAGTGTCTTCTTGTAGAGAGGAATCATATTGAGTGGTAACTGGACAGGAGAAGGAATGCTAGGATGTGACTAATATCTCCCACACAAACAACTGCTGAAATGGGTGTCTGGGTTCCTTGAAGCATCAATATCCTATCGGTAGGTAAATTTGCCACTTTTCTGGCTGCTGCTATTGGTTCAGACTTGGAAGAAGCAGTTGGATGTAATCCCAGCTGTTTACTTTTTCCTTCACTTTCTTTGCTTTGGGGGATGAGTCTTTAAAGATGTTACTGAGATGTATGCCTTGTAGTGTTTTGCCTATATTTTCTTCTATATATTTTATGGTTTCAGGGCTTATGTTCAGTTGTTTTTCCATTTTGAGTTGATTTTTGTGCATGTTGTGAGGTAGTGGTCTAGTTTCATTCTTTTGCTTATCGTGGTCCTGTTTTCCCAGCACCATTTATTGAATATACTGTCCTTGTTTCACTGCAAATTCTTTGCTCCTTTATTAAAGATTAGTTGTCCAGATATGTGTGGCTTTATTTCTGGGCTTTCTTTTTGGTTCCATTGTTCTGTGTGTCTATTTTTGTTCAAGTACCAGACTGTTTTAATTATTATGGCTTTGAATTCTGGGAGTGTGATACCACCATTCTCCTTTGTTTTAGTCAGGAGAGCTTTGGCTATTTGAGGTTTTTTTGTGACTCCATGTGAATTCCCAAAGGACACAAAAACATTAATTCAAAAGGATACCTGCACTCCTATGTTTATTGCAGCACTAGTTATAATTGGTAAGACTTGGAATCAACCCAAATGCCCCCAAATAGATGACTGGATCAAGAAGATGTGGCATATATACACAATGGAGTACTATTAAACAGTCAAAAGATAAACTAATGCCATTCGCAGCAACATGGATGGAGCTAGAGGAGATTATGATCAGTGAAATATGCCAGAAAGAAAAAGAAAAATACCAGATGGTTTCACTTATAGGAGGAATATGAGGGAACAGTACAAGGGATCAAGGAAAAGAATAATAATAACAATAAAAACACAACAAAACAAAACAATAATAAACAGACATCTGTAAATCAGAGACATTCTACAGGGGAGGGGGAGGGAGAGGGATCAGAACAAGGGTGGGAAGAGCACAATGGACTACAGTTGTGGTGCACTGATGCGCGGGTGAATTGGTGATGGAAATTCTATGGGGACTACACCTGAAAAAAGAAAGCAACCATTGTAAAAAAAAAAGAAAAAAAGAACAATGATGTAAAATATAAATCAATAAATAATTAAAAAAAGAAACAGGTTATATTCAGAAAGCAATGTTCGTAAAAAGCTATGAAGTATTACTCCTGAAGCACAAGATTTCAACTGCTTGGAATTAATTTTACTTGAAACATGTTACTCTTAATCTGTAATTTCTTTGAAATATAACTTTTCTGGCAAAATGGAGGGGTCTTTCAAAATCTGCTTATCAAACACTTAATCCAATAGAACGGAGCTGAGTTTATTAGGTAAATTTCAGTGGGAGAGCCATGAAGAAAATGTGGGACAGGCAGGGATATAAGAATACTTGGGGTAGATATGGAAAAGGGCATGGTCTTGATGAATTCAGGTATCTGATATAAATAGGCAGATGGGGCCTCACCTGGTGGCGCAGCGTTTGAAGGCTGGGCTGTGAAGCTGCCCGCAGCCTCTGCAGTGCCCGATCAATCCCTGGCCACCAGAGAGGGTCCCACATGGTGAGCAGACCTCTCCTGCCATGCCTGCTGCTCCCCTCAGCAGTGTTGTCAGTCTGCCTGTTCTGTTTCCCACTCTGGCTCTGGTGAATTCTCTCACCCTCCCGCGCTTCTGACTATACCCAGTGCTTGTATAAATAAATAAATAAATCTTTAAAAAAAAGAAAACAGGCAGATGGCTTACAATCACTAGAAAGACTAGATATGGTTTCCTATCACTATGAGCTCTTAAAGTAGAGCTATAGAAATGAGCCACCACAGGACATGAGTTTTGAACTATAAGAAGACTAGGACAAAATGATTTGAAGTGTGTTTGAAATCATAAGTTCTCTGGGCACTGTCATGTCTTTACCTGTAAAAATAGGAATTTAGTTATATAAGAATGTAAAACCCTAGAACAACCAAAACAATACTGAAAAAGAACAAAGTTGGAGAACTTTCATCTCCCAGGTTCAAAACTTGCTATAAAGCTACAGTTATCAAGACATTGTGGCACTGGCAACGGCTAGACATATAGATCAATAGAAAAGAAATAGCATTCTAGGAAAAAAACCCTCACATTTATGGTCAATTGATTTTCCACAAGGGTGCCAACATAAGGGAATGGGTAGTTTTTAAAAATGCCTCAGTAAGGATAGTTCAACATCTGAAAATCAATAAATGCAGTTCACCACATCAACATAAGGAAAGATAAGAATGATATGATAATATCTATAGATGCAGAGAAAGCATTTGATAAGACTCAACAATCATTTATGATAAAAATCCTCCAAAAATGGTGATAAAACAGAACATATCTCAAATAATAAAGGCCATATACGATAAACCCACAGCTAATATCAGGCTCAATAGTAAAAAGTTGAAAACTTTTCCTCTAAGATCTGGTATAAGAATATCCACTTCACCACTATTATTCAATAAGGTGAGAGAAAGACATAAAAGGGGTCTAAACTGGGTAAGAAGAAGTAAAACTATCACTATTTACAGATGACATGATAATATACATAGACTACCCAAAAGAGTCCAATAGAAAAAAAAAAAAAAAACTATTAGAAACAATGAATCAGCACAGTAAAGTGGTAGGTTACAAGATCGATTTACAAAAATCAGTTGCATTTCTATAGGTAAACAACAAACTAGATGAGAAAGAAATCGGGAAACAATTGCATTTGCAATCACATCAAAAAGAATTAAATACCATGGAGGGCCTCCCTGGTGGTGCAGCAGCTGAGCGCCACTCTGCAAAGCTGTCTGCAGCCTCTGCAGCACTGGTTCAATTCCCCGCCGGCCAGGGAGAACCCCATATGGCACAGCAGACTACTCCTGCCTCGCCCGCTGCTCCCCTCAGCAGTGTCTTTGGTCTGTCTGCCTGTTCTGTTCCCCACTCTGGCTCTGGTGAATTCTCTCACCCTCCCGCACTTCTGACCTGTACCCCAGTTCTTGTATAAAATAAATAAATCTTTAATAAAAAAGAAATACCATGGAGTAAACTTAATAAAGGAGGTAAAGCACCCATACAATGAAAACTATAAGACATTGTTAAAAGAAATAGAAGAAGATACAAAGAAATGGAAAGATATTACCTGTTCATGGTTTGGAAGAATCGATATTGTTAAAATGGTCACCTTACCTAAAGCAATTTATAGATACAAATATACAGATTCAAAGAAATAGAACAAACATTACTGAAACTCATGGAACCACAAGAAAAGCCTGAATAGCCATACAAATCCTGACAAAAAAAGAAGGGTAGTATCACACTCCCAGACTTCAAACTACACCAAAAAGCTACAGTTATTGAAACAGTATGGTGATGGAATAAAAATAAACACAGAATATTAGAACATAATGAAAAGCCAATGAACAGTTAATGTACAACAAAGAAGATAAGGTATACATCACAGAAAGGAAATTCTCTTTAGCAAATGGTGCTGGGAAAACTAGACAGCTACATGCAAAAAAAAAATGAAACTAGGCCACCATCTCACACCACACACAAAAAATAACTCAAAATGGATTAAAGACTTAGCTATAAAACCCGAAACCATAAAGCACATAGAGAAAAAAACTGATTACCAATTTGATTTTGATATCATATATTAGCTACAGATACTTTATGAAGTGAACATGCTTATCAACTATTTTGAAGTTGCCCTGCTAAAGTATTGAAATAATTATAATTGAGTGGGGATTTTGGAATATGAATATACAATCTTTATATTTTTAGTCAAAACTACATATTTCCTTATGTTTTCTAAAACTGTACAAATATCAGTGTTTTTAATCTTAGGCAATGTGAATTACAAGGAAATTTCTTTTTTGTTATTGTTAAGTCATCTTCATATACCTTTCATACTTAGTAGTCTTTAGTGTTATTTCATTTTCATCTGTGTTTTCATTTCGATTAGAATATTGGTTTCTCTCTTACTTGTTTCTAAGAGTACATTTATGGCTAAGTATATTAATAATTTGTCATGCATTGCAAATGAATACCATGTTTTTTTTTTTTTTTACCTTATTTTACTGTGTTTTATTTTTTTGTTGTACTGAAGTTGTATATTGAAATATAATCATATTCCGGTGTAAAAAAAAAAAAACAGGTAAAATAATCAGTGACATTGGTTTCACTATGTCTCTGTGGATTTGTCTCCAATGGCAAGAGAAACAAAAGAGAATATGGGACTTCATCAAACTAAAAAGCTTCTACATAGCAAATGAAACTATCACTAAACAAGACAACACTATCTGAATGGGAGAAAATATTTACACATCATAGATCTGAAAAGGGGCTAAAACCTGAGATCTACAAATAACTCATACAAGTCCACAAAAAGAAAACAAATGGCCCAATCAAAAAAATGGGCATAAGAGCAAAGTAGACACTTTTTCAAAGAAGACATCCAGATGACCACAACAGGTGAAAAATGCTCATCATCACTTATCATCAGGGAAATGCAATTCAAAACTACAATGAGATACCACCTCACACCTATAAGAATGGCCCATATCAAGAAGCCAACAAATGTTGGTGAGGATAGAAAAAGAAACCTTGTAAACAGTTGGTGTTTTCCATCTGGAAAATAGTATGGAGGTTTCTCGAAATTTAAAAAATAGACCCACCGTATGATCCAGCAATTCCACTCCCAGATATCTATTCAAAGAATACAAAAACACTAATATGAATGCCTGTGTTCAGTGAAGCACTATTTACAATAGTCAAATTATGGAAACAGTCTGAGTGCCAGTGACAGAGGACTGAGAAGAGGTGGTGTGTGTCTGTCTACACACACACAGACACACATACACACAATGGGAAACTACTCAGCTATAAATACAGATGAACTCCTACCATTTGTAGCAACATGGATGTACCTGAAGGAGATAATGCTAAGCAAAATAAGTGAGAAAGAGAAAGATAAATACCAGATGGCTTCACTTATATGTGGAATTTAGAGAAACAAAACTAAGGGTCAGAAATAATGAAACAAACAAACAAAAACCAAAAAAAACCCCGCCAGAATTATGAATCTAGAATTGAGGCTACCTGAGGGGAAGAGGGAAGGGTAAAAGTAGGTTATGGAAGGGGTACAGTGGACCATGGTGGAGGACTATGGGTGCCTTGGTGGTGGGTGTGGTGTGGTAACATATGTCTGAAGACGTGATCATATGCCTCTGAATCATGTAGTATTGTAAACCAATGTTACCTCAATTAAAAAAAAAAATGCTGCTGTGAAATTGGATATCCACATCCAGAAATATGAACTTAGACTCTTACCTCACACCATTCACAAAAATTAACTCAAAGTAAATGATAGACTGAAAAGTGAGAGCTAAAACAACAAAAAATTTAGAAGGAAACAGGAACAAATTTTCTAGGCCACTGGTTGGGTAAAGATTTTTTTAGATATGTCACCAAAAGCTTGGTCCATAAAAGAACAAAAATCGATCTGTTGGATCTCATCAAATTTAAATCTTGTATTTCAAAAGATACTAGTAAGGGAATGTGAGGACAAGTAACAGACTGGTGGATAACATCTTTAAAACACATATTTGATAAAGTACTTTTTCCTCAGTCCAGGCCTGCTACGAGAAACACGTTCTGGTGGCAGGGATGGTGGTAGGGGTATATGTGCTTATTTTACTTGTAGTTTCAATTTACCACAAGATCTGTAAAGCTGCCTGAGGGTGTAGTAGAAAAGCACAAAAATATATTAAGTAGACCAGTCCTGTATGGGGTAAAATCAATGGGTCCAGGGAAGCCAGGTTAGGAACACCAAGAACCAGTAGGGAGATCTCTGATGCTCAGAAATCTTTCCAAGCGAAAAACAGGCCGGAAAACACTACGAGGAGTTGATCAAGCACTCACCAATAGAACAAAGGTAGGCAGTTTGCTGAACTGAGTCAATGTAATCTGTTCTTAATAATAGTAACACAGTTAGTTTTGTTTACACAAAACTAATCTGCAGATCTGGACTTTGAAAGCAGCTCTAATTTCAGGATGCCAGTGCAGTGTCATTACATACGAGGTCACTATTTGGGGAAAGCTGTATCACTAGCCTGACCTTAGGTCTGTTGTATCTTACATCCAAAGGACCTCTTTCTTTCTGTTGTTTGCCTGAGAGGCAGGGGATATTGGAACATGTGTGTATTGCGATTGTGTTTGAATGTAGGCAAGGAGTTTCTTTTCCTTACTTGTATTGCCCTGGGTGTTCATCTCTTCTGGTGTTGAACTCCAGAGAAATTTTAGCATCCAGTCCAATTCCAAAATAGTTGTTCATAACACACCTTTCTTTGAAGCGTCTGAAATTAACCAAAGGGAAGAGGAAAGAGGTTGGTGCAGGGAAGAACTGCTGTCATTGGGCGGCAGACTTCACCTGCATGATTGAAATCACTGAGGAAATGTCTCCACATTGGGCCTAAGCCATAATGTTCTTGGAGGCACATGTACATATACCGTAGTGTTAACAATTAGCTTGTAAGTTACAGAAAAGGGCACCCAACCAATTGTGAGTAGTGGTGGGATGGGGCCTCATAATAATGAGTCATCTTTGGAGACCCTCAGATATTAGTGGCCAATATTTTCTATACATAATAAAAGGGAATAGAATCATTGACTTATTACTGACTTATTTGCATAAAGAAATGTTATCTCATATAAAGATAGATGATGTGAATAAATTACACACTATTGTTTTCAGAGATGTCTGAGCTCCTTTGTAGCATTTTCACATCAAAGTGACCACACATTTGGGAGAAAAGACTGATAAACAAGGATATGTGTGTGTATACCCCCAAAAATTTAAGATTAATAATTCTTCTGCATTCATCGCAGGTATCCATATCAAAACCAGTGGTGTGCTAGAGCCAGTTCATACTGGCTCATGTAAATTGTTTATGTCCATAACTCTTTATGCCTATCACTTCCCAACTCCACACTCAGTGGCATTGTATCAGCAGCGTGAAATAGACCATGGTGGGAGGATTTAACATCCCTATTAAATCAGGAATAAATCAGGCCTCCCCCACCCCCGCAGTGCTGGTTGTTAAATATTTGCCAGCTCTCCATTGATCAAAATTCATTAGCTTTGATGTGAGGACCCAGAGTGCTCAGATATGAGCTTAAGTTCATTGTGAAGTGGCGAGAAGGAGGGGTAGGAGATAGAAATAAATGGAAAGCTATAGCAAACTTAAATAATTGCTAGCTGTGCCTTCTGAGAAACTGAAAATACATAGTTTAGCTACTCAATCCTAGATTTTTTTTTATTTATTACTAAACCGACCCTACATCTTTCACACAAGATTTCTTTCCTTCACCCATAGTCCAGATATTTGGGTTTCTCTAAGTGAAATTGGAACTGATCTTCTTAAAGAACTCAAAATGAGTGAATGTGGCTAAACATAGCTGCTGGGAATATTCTAAAGAGATAGGGTTAGTGAGACAGGTGTCTTTAGATTTTTTACTTAGTCCCCTAAATGCCCATTTATTTTTTATAGCACCTCCAATCATTTGCAGTTAAAGGCAACAGTGGAAAAATAAGTCCTTTGAAATAACAAAGTACTTAATGGTTGATGCCAAGCACTACTCAATGCAAGTATTGTACATACCTAAATTCAATAAATGCAACAGGCCTATGTGACAAGTTCTACAATTATCTCTGCTTTATAGATGAGGATACTGAGGCTCAGATTGGTTGAATTACTTGTATAAGGTCACAACTAGTAATTAGAGTCAACATTTGACTTTGAGTATCCTTAGATTATCCTCTTAAATAAAGAAAGTAAGAAGTCATAAAAAGGTGATAGGGCTAAATACTTACATAGTTTCAGGTTTAAAGTGTAAGTGCTCCAAATTGAGGTTATCTAGGTCTTCGTTTTTGAGAGAAGATATAGAAGACAAAGTTCCATGATGAGAACCTGAACACAAATGTGACATCTTGGTGTGAGAAGCAAACAAGAAAGTCCTATCCCTCTACTTGTGTTTCCCTCTGTTTTCTTTGTGGGAGTAGAGTGAAACTCAATGAGTTTTTTCTAGCTGACATTCAGGGTTCTCATTCCAAAGAGGAATCATCTTGGATGGACAAGGACTTCCACTGAGGAAATATTAAGGCTGGGCTGTTTGCTTGCTGACAGTGAAAACAGCTTCACATGTTAGGTTTCAACAGGGCAGTCTTTTCAAAGTACCTAATGGGGCCATTACTTCCAGACATTGGCATGAGATTTTAGAGGTTGAGAGTTCTAAGAAAGAGGGAGGGACAGTTACAGCAGAGTAGGATTATGGGTAAAGGAAGATGCATGGATATGTCTTTATTTTCTGGAACTAGAAGACAGTGATGAAAACTAGAATAAAAGAAGGAGAGAAAGAGTCTTACGGTGTCTTGGGCTTGTCTGGTTGATATCTTCTGAGTCATCTTCCAGGAAAAAAGTTGAAGTAAAGTTCTTAACCGATATTGTCTGCCGGCTTTGTTCATCCAGAACTATAGAGTGAAAGAGGGAGGAAGAAAAGTAGGGAGGAAGTAGGGAGGGAGGAAAGGGAAAATGAGAAGATTGGTAACACTTACAGAACCTTTCTTTTTTATTTTTGTGACTTTTTTTTGAGGTAACACTGGTTTACAACATTGTAAGTGGAGCATCTCTTTTGTTCAGTTAGTGCCAGTCAGAGTGTGGTTAGACAACAAAGATGCTGATGTAACCACCAAAATACAGTTTGTAGTCTCAGCTTCATTACAATGCTGCCCGCACATCTCTTCCTATTCATGACTGAGCATTCTCTATTTTACTGGTTCCTGTTTTTTTTGTCACCCAGTAAATGTTGTGAGTAGAAGCTTGAGACAAGTGGTAGGATACCCTCTGCTCTTCTCCCTCCATTCTCACCTCTTTGTTAATTCATTTACTCCAACACTTTTGTTCCATACTAGAGCCTCTTGCACCATGCCATTCTTCCACTTAAATGTCTCACCCATGGCCATATTTAAGAAGTCTCCTATTCAGCAGCCTATATATTGTATAGCTCAAGGTGCCACTTGGGTCATAGCTCATAGGTTCAATCCCTTCCCCACGAGTCCCACAAGTGTACCTCTAATTTGGACTTCTGTGTTAATTTAACAGGTTGAAGGGTAGGTATGACAGGGCGATGGCCATAGAAAACTAATCTGATCCCTAATACATGGACACTAACTACAGAAATAGAGGCAAGCTGACTGTATACTTCTTTCACAATGCAGATGGGTGATTACCTTCCTTTCTTGGAATCTCGGTTGAGGTTGTTATCTAAAGGTAACAGCCAGGAGAAGGTTCCATGTCTAAAAGTCAAAGGCTAGATAAAAGAACTTCCTTACTATAATGGGCTTCTGCCCAGGTAGTACACACTAGGTTTTACACAATCTTCTGATCTATTTTTCAAAGAAGCGTTATGGGAAATAAATGGGAACCAAAATGTCAAATTAAGAAGTTGGAGGAGTTATAAGAGGTTTCACACTGAGTTGGAAGCTTGCAGACTGTCATGAGTTGTGGGAAATGGCAATCAATGCCAGACCTGCCAGGACTCTTCTCATGGCCCTTGTGCCTGATTAACATCGTGCAAGACATGCAGAGATGAACACTATTTTCTTTCTAAAATAGTCACAGGCTTGCTGGTTGGAAAGAAACAGGAGCAGGTAGAAAATAAATTTCATGGTTGGTGGTGGAAGCTGATGGAGCTTTAAGCCAGGTCACTTAGCAGCTATAATTGTTTGGGATGAATGTTAGTTCCAAAAATAAATGAGTAGAAAGAGTTGAGTGCTTGGGAGTTAGGAGGAGCCAAAGGGGCAGCTTATCAGAGCTGAGTCTTTTCAAATCAGCAGAGTCTGAGAAATGACTTTGTATGCTGTTTAATGCAGAATCTGGTCAAGTTTTGGTGTAGCAAAGTAGAAAACCCTGAGTAGGGAGATCAGTAAACCACCCCCAGGAAACATTGCTTTCCCCTGCCTTGATCACCATAACCCTGAGATTCTCACCTTGTTCAACTTGGAATATAATGAGTTTCAAGGATTTCTGGAGATTCTGGGCCTTCGTGGCCAGCTCCAGCTTGCACTTGGTCATGTGGTCTATTTGAGGGATAAAGGGCTTTCCATCGGCATGGCTGCTGTCTGCACATTCTGGAGCACTCCTCTCAACTGCTGCCTCCTCAGCCAGGACATCAATCAGGACACTGAGCTTGTCATACATGATGTCACTCTATATACAGAGGAAGGAGAGAGGACATTGCTGGGAGGGACCATGGTGAAGAGGACTGAATGAGGAGCCAGGGCGGTATGGGGAGAGGTGAGATGGGACAGTCGTTGGCCAGGAACACTAGCCATAGAAAGTTACATTTGGGGAGATGAAAGTTTGAGGACAGAAGTACTCATATAGATGTGATGAGATAACCAAAGGGTGGTGAGGGATCAAACATTTGCCAAGTCTTTCTCCTGTCAGAGTGGCCTGTAAAATGATGTGTAACATGGTAAACTTGAGGATGGGTAGACCTTTCTGGATTGGTGTTTGTATGGGCATACGCCTGTGGATGTGTGCGTGCCTCTGCTGGGTACCTGGTGTCTGTGTTGTCGTTTTGTTTGTTTGGTGTCTACTTTTGTAGATGTGTATGCTTGGTTGTGCACTACATGATGGATGCTTGATTCCCAGCTCCATCACCTAACAGTTTGTGGCCTGAGGCGAAATACTTAACCTCTTTGTGCTTCCATATTCTAGGGCAGTTGTGAGGGTTAAATAAATAGATTAAAAGCATTTAGAGCAGTTCCTGTCACAGAGTTTAGTGCTAAATAAGTATTAGCTCTCGCTGGTGCTGCTGTTGTTATAGAGGTGAACATGGATATATTTCTAGCATGCATTTGTATATATTTTCTAGCATGTTCTGGTATACGACCATGCATATATATGCTTGGTCTGGGTTTGGGCAGATATTTGATGCATATACTTAACTACATGAATACACGAATGTGTATGTGTAGTGCCATTCTTCATTTAGTTAAAAATGGGAGATGAGGTTGGATTTTCCCCCATTATGGAGCGTACCAGCCCCTCCACCTTGCCTTTCTTTAACAATTCCCACTGAGAGGTATATTTGCTTCTAATTAAAAAGGGGGCTCTGGCTCCACAGAGTACAAGACTAAAGGAAGGGAAACTTACTTTCAAAATCACAGACTCTACTGCTGTATTGTTCTCTTTTATCTGACGCCAGGCTTTTACAATATCGAGCACAAAATCTTCCACTGCTGAGCACAGAAATCTGGAAAGATAAGACAGACAGTGCATGTGGCATGGACCATGAGGTTCAGAGCCCTTCTCTCTTATAACAGCCTTCTTCTGTCTCTTCCTGATCTCTCTGTCTCCCTTGCCATCTCCTCTCCCTTTATTTGATTCCACCCCCCCACTTTTGATGTACATGTAGTGAAAAATGCAAGTACCAAAACAAATGTAATAATATTTTTAGTCCTAATTTTGAATTTACAGAAAAGAGCATCTAATTGGCCCAACATGGGTTAGGTTTTCACCCTGGGTTGAGTCAGCCATGTTTCAAGAGCTAAGCTCATGTCCTACAAACACAGTGACATTGGGAGGACTGTCCCCATAGGAAGCGCTTCTCAAAGAAGAGTGTGGTAGACTTCGCAGGAAATCCTCAGTGAGTCCCAGGAGGTATCAGTGACTCACATATTGAAAAGAAGAGAATGTGTTGCTCTGGGTGATGATAAGGCAGTTGTGCAGCACTACAGAGACCTTTCCAGATGCAGGGCACGGTGCTATGCTCTCGGTAGTGTGGCATGTTGTTTCCCTTCTGTAGGCCTTCTTTCAAATCCAAAGGCTTTGTCTTTTTGGAGTGGCAGAAGGCCTCACTCTAATCTCCCCCTCCCCCACTGATCCTAAACTTTCCATTTAGGAGGTCTGGGTTGGAAAAAATTCAGTTCAGAAGGTAAGGATACAGTTTCCTTGCCCTCAGCCCCCTAAACTACCCAAATGTTTATCCAAATAAACTATCCCATCTCTAATCTTGGGAGAGCTCAGGAGGGACAAAAACACCCAAGGTTTGAGAGCCAACGGAAGACTGACCTGGTCGCAATGATCATCTCTGTAGGGTACTTGGCCTTCAGGATTTTGTTCAGCTCAGTGGTCGCAGATTCTAAGTGTTGGATGGCAGCAGCCTGTGGGCAAAAGGAGTGCTCAGCCTTGGAGTCTTAGCTCCATGGCATAGTGTCCTCCCCATCCCCTCATTATATCCCACAGACTCCTATTTATTTTTTTTTATCATTTTTATTGAACTAACACTGCATTATAACACTATGTAACTTTCAGGTGTGCATCATTGAGACTCAACTTGTGTATGTACTACGTTAAGTTGATCACCAACCATCCAATTCTGTCGTTCACCTACTGACTCTTCATTAACAACTCAAGTGTCTCTCTGTAATTATAACAACAAAACAGATCTTGTTGAAGTTTCTCACAGATAATCTTAGATTTGTGATCATTCTAAAAGCAAGTGATGTATATTGTTTCATTTTAATTAAATTAATACTCAAAAGCTCATGTGAAGGAGGTTCATTCCATGAACAATCTCATGTTACACAGCTAGTAAATAACAGATCTGGGATTCAAACTCACATCTTGCCAATGCTTGAGTGTTGTCTCTTATATAATAGTATTAGTACTAATCATAGCATCCGCTTATACAGTACTTACTATGTGCCAGTTTCTGTTCTAATCTATCCATCCATCTATCTATCTCATGTGATTCTTATAATAACCCTATGACGTCAGGACTGTTATTATCCCCATTTTGTAGAACAGAAAACTGAAGCACAGGAAGAGGGGATTGATAAGTGGCAGAGTCAGAATTCGATTCCAGGTACTCTGACTCTTGAGTATGAACTCTCAGATACAACTTCTACTACTCCTTCTCTATCACCCCCTACATTCAAATATCTACCAAGGCCTGATAAGCCTGTCTCTTCAATATGTCTTCAATATGTCCATTTCTCATTAGCCCTGTTACTGCTTCACCAGTCCAAATCACCATCATCTTTTGCCTAGACAATTACGACATCCTCTATCTTTTCTTCTTGCCCATATTGTTTCTCTACATACCATAGAACCTTTCTGCTTAAGACCCTTCATTAGATAGTAGAAAGATAGATTGACAGATGTGTGATAAAGCACATACAGTGACACTGTAATGGTAGAATTTACCATTTTAAATGACCTATATGTTTGAAAATTTTCATAATAAAATCAGAAAAAAAACCTCTATAATTTTCATTGCTCTTAGAATAAAAGTCCAAACTTCCTACCATGGTTTACTAGGTGCTTCCTGGCCTAAACCCTGATACTGTCTCCACTCTCATCTTTAGTTGCCTTCTCTGCATACTTCATCCCAGGTCTCTATGCCTCAGTCATAAAGAATATATTATTTCAGTTCTGTGAATATTTCATGCTCTCTCCTGCCTTTGGAACAACAGACACTGTTCCCTATGCCTGGAACAGGCCTCCTTTTTCATATTATCTTGGTTAACTCTCTCTGGTCCTTAGATCACATCAGAAATGGTACCTCTTCTGAGTTGTTTTCCTTGGTTTCCACCAGACTGGATTAGTCGTACCTACTGGGTGTTCCTACTTCCCTTTACTTCATTCTATGCTAACACTCTTACTACTTTATCAAAACTTTTTCTTATCACTGCAATTAGATTATGAGCTCCATGACAACATGGACTATACCATTTTTCTTTATCTAGCTTGTAAGAGCAGTGCCTCACACATAGTAGCTTATTCAGGAATACTTTCCATCAATATTTTGAATAAATCAATAAGTAAATGGTTGAATGAATTATATACCCAGTGTCTAACACAGTTCTTGGTAAATAACTGCTAATTAATATGTCCCCAGTGCTCAGTGATTTCATTCTCACCCAGCCCCTGGATGATACAAAAGTGTTTCTCTGGATTTTGTTTGTTATTTCACTATGTAACAAAAATGTTGAATTATATCTGGGAAGTTACCTCAAATCTGTGTGCATCCATTTCAACCTGTCCTTTCAGCAATGGGGTTTGTCTAGGGGTCTCACGGATCATCACACTCCATCTGAAATGAAGTTCAAATGCCAACAGATATTCAGGGCTGTTTCATCACAAGCTGGAATCAATGCTTCATATATTAAGAAAGAGGTCAGACTGTTTAAATGGTGAGGGGAGGTGGGTTTTGGGGGGTGTCTAAGCTATCTCAGGATACCTGATATCAAAGTAAATCACAACAGGGGCCTCTACCTCATGATCTCTCTAGGTCAGTGTGATGGAAGGCATTCTATTGCAGGTTCTCAGAGACAGTGCTTCTCAACCGTAAGTAACTATCAATATCCCTTGACATGCTACTGTAAAGTACACAGAGCAGCACCCTACCCAAGACCTACTGATAGGTAGGTTGGGCTCAGCTTGGGATCTTGAAAAAGCCCTCCAGGACATCTTCATGGGAATATTTTAGGGCAGTTATAAATCAAATAGTCACATATGTCTCAGCACAGAAAGTCTTTTTTCTCAGGAGATAGGATGGCAATGCTGTCTTCTCTAGAACAGAGATAATCTAGACCAATTATTTCTCAACTCTCATAATTTTTTTGAAATCCTTTAAAACTATAAAAAATTTGAAGGAGATTCACAGAACCCTTGAAATTCACCCAAAGGACTCTTGCTCTAGGAGCTTTTAAATTTAAAGAGGGATTCTAGTGATGTTTGACGGAACCATGGTAGATAGACCCCAGTTTCCTAATAGACAAGCCCACACCCCACAACTACTCTGCACTTAAGACAGGAAGGGAATAGAGTTTACGAAGGAGCTTAGAACACTCCTAATGGAGATGATCAAGTGGGAGTAATGGGTGTGGGACAGGGAGAGGTACAATGACCTGGTATTTCAGTCACTCACCTGTCCAGAATCCTCACAGTAGCCTGCTCTACTCTGTTGAGGATGTTCAGAGGTGACTTGTTTTTGTTCCAGAATGCACCCCAGCCTAGGACACGGGCCAGATCATTGCCAGTTCCAAGTGGGATGACTGCCAGCTGACACTGCAAAAACAAATACAGCACCTGTTTCAGATAGTCCTACCAAGATCTACCCATAAAAAAATCCATAAGGTACTCTTTGGAAAGACTGTGGTCTCAAAGCCATTGGCAATAAGGGACTATTGATTCTAGGAAGTATAATGGGAAGATGTAAGTTGAGTGGAATTTTCTTCAAGGAGTTAGGACCCACTCTTGGCAATATAGAACCCACTCAGTAAAGGGCAAAGCTGCTGGAATAGAGCCATGTTTATAAAAGAATATAGACATCAATTTCTATCCAGGCTGGGCTATGGAAGCAAGATGCCTCAGGAAACAAAGCTACTGATATTAGACTGGATGGGGACGATGGAGAGAGGTAGAAGAAAGTTCCTGCTACTTTTGAGACTTTGGGAAGATAATCAGTAGCCTTAGAAGGCAAAAGAAATTGGGGGCTGAATACCGCCTGAGGCCACATTTTTTTTTTTTTTTTACTTGCTATCCTCCCCTTCAAATCTTCACTTTGGGGCTTGGGCTCTGCTCATTCTTTCTGCTAACTTCCTCATTTCCCTTTCCCACAGAGAACCAGAAAATGGTCCAGGTGAGCAGACTCAGACTAACAGACTAATAGGTTGACAATGAAACCAGAGGGAAACACAATCTATAGACAAGGAGAGTGAAGACCAGGGACTTCTTCAGATGAGCAAATTCACACCAGTCTCTCTAGCAATGGCTAAACTGTGTCAGGTAGAGACTCACCCTTTCATGTAGTCCAAAAGCATCAATCAGAGATAAGACCCAGCTCACACTGCCATCTCCACCACAAACCACGATGCGAAAGCGAGCAAAGTTCTTGAACATGCATAACCTGGAAGGAAGAAGGGAAAAGGGAGTCATTTCATGAACTTCTGGGTTTTACAACTCTTTCCTACAATGTGCTAGGACCCACAGACTGTGGCTCTTGCACCCCACTAACAGGCTACCTACCTGCCTTTTTTCCCTAGCCCTCATCTCTCTGTATATCTAAGATAACAGGCTGTGCTCCCAGGCAATCCTGGAAATCCAGTTTTGCCTCAACCTACACTCTCCTCTGTGCTCAGCCTCGCTCTAGAAGCTATCAGTATCTTGGCCAAACCCACTTGCTGAGGCCCTGGAAGAATGCCCTAGTGGTGATCAGTGGGTGTACAGAAACCGGGGACAAACTACCAGATGTTTCCCAAATAAAATAGATATGTCAGAAAGATAACTATTTGGTTTCTGGCAAAAAGAAAGAGTGACTGTCAGGAAAGGTGGACAGTGATAGCCTTGTGCCTCTTCCTCTGAAGTCAGGAGACATTATTTTACCTCCTCCAACCAGAAAAGGTGGGGCAAATCAGAGCAGGACATGGGCTTCAAAGAATTCCTGGGAGAAGGAAAATCCCCCAAATCAGCCAATCCAAAATGCTCTGGAGTTATGTTTGTGTCCTGACTTAAGGAAATAGATCTTTCCTGCCCAGGTACTAGAACTGATTCCAAGAAGCCTAACTTAGCCTATAATGTACAGAGGTGGCATCCCCTTCTAGCTACCCAACCATCACCCTCACCCCATGCTTACCCTGCTTCAGGTCCACCCTTCGACAGGTCAAACACTTGAGATGGGTTAAGGTACTGCTTAAATTTTCTGAGGAAGACGATCCCTTGATGATCGCCGCTTTTTGAGTTGATGAAGATGAGAAGGGGACATGAACAGGCTGATGACCAATCAAGACTCCAGAAGTCTGAAGATACGACTAATTGGCCTAAAACATGCACATAAGAGAAAGAAAAAAAGAATAGGACCGTTGAGGTTGAAACAAGATACAACTTAACATCAACTTTCAAAAACTTTTAAAAAACAGCTTTTTTGAGATATAATCAATAGACAAAAGACTTTACATATTTAATATGAACAATTCAATGAATTTAGACATATGCAAACACCACAGTTAAGGTAATGGATATATCTAACCCTGGCCAGAGATTCCTTGTGCCCCAGTTTCCTAAGACCAAAGAGCAGAGAGGAAGGCAAGACACACCCCAGAGGGGCTTTTATTAAATGTTGCCCCAGTTGGTGGCAGTCAGACAGCATCTGTTGAGCAACTATGACATCCTAGTCATCATGCTAGAAACTGTTAGGGTATAATCCCTGCCTTCAAGTCGGGAAAACAGGCTTATACACAAGAGCATATTGGAACACAAGGAATTAGAAAATTGGTGCTACAGGCGAGGATTAATAAAATGCTATGGAGAAATTGAGGAAGGAAAGGGTTGACAGCCCAGGAGGAGGATCAGTACACCAACTAGTCCTCTCTCTGCCTGGGTTAGCTCAGTTCTAACAGTGAGAAGATACATGTCAGGAGAGAGGGGGAGGATATATGTCTTCTAGCCAGGAGCTAAGGACAGAACATATCAATGTAGGGTGAAGCAGGGAGCTTTAATCACTCCTCTAAGGCTCTGGCAGAGCCATCCAAGTTATCACACAGGGGCAAAAGACTATAGGGAAGTTGTCTGAACAAGAGAGAGGATTTTAATAATCCCCAACACTGAAATTCTCCTTAGAGAAGTGGTTGCAGCAGTCTAAACTGCCAAAGCCTGCCAGCTCGTGCTGAGTCTTAGAGTCTGTTGGCAGGAGACAGGCAATGGGTCCCTAGGAGATGCTAGACAAATTGTAAGCTGCCAAATCTCTGAGTTTGTGGCTTGGCAGGGATACCCCAGCAAAAAATAAATGCAAAGGGCAAAAGGCATGTGGCTCACTCCTGAATGGTGTGTGTGTGGGGGGGGGGCAGTGGGGTAAGATGTCCCATCTGTTGTAACCTGGTGAAAAGGAAGACTGAAAGGAAGACTACTGACTTGAGCAGATTGCAAAATTTCATGTTTTGCTTGAAAAAATCTAAAGCAAGATTCCTCTAAGAGCCAGTACCTACTCACTGGCCAATAGAGCTTGAAGACTTCCTAAACCATCCACTCATGTGCCACATTTCCAGGGTTTGCCAGAACTCACAGCTATAAGGGGAGTCTGCTATTTCCCCTTCAGTAGCATAGCTTGGAAGTAATTACGTTCCCTGAACACATTATTCAAAAGTAGTACCCTTTTCAACCTTGTTTTTAATTTACAAAAGGTAATGTGTTGTCTCCGTGGTAATGAAAACACATTCATTCATTCAATAAGTATGTATTGTGGGCATTTTCTGTGTTTGTTCTTGTTATATTCTGAGAATGCAATGGATGACAAGATAGAAACAGTCTCAGCTTTTGTGGAACTTAATTTTAATGAAGAAAGACAAATAAAGAGGAAATAAACATAGACAAATGTGATATGAAGAAAAATAAAGCAAAGAAAGGGGACGGAGACTAAAGGAGCATTATGTTAGGTAGGGTGGTAGGGACAGCTGCTCTGAGGATCTGACATTTGAGATAAGACTTGAATGAAGTGAGAAAGTGAGCACTGCAGTGATCTGGAAGAAGAGTTTTGTGGGATGGGAAGAAAAATAAGTGCCAGGACCAGTGAAGAGAGACTGGGATGTCTGACAACCAGTGAAGAGAACAGCATGGCTGTTGTGGAGTGAGGAGGGAAGGGGGGGAACAGACAGGGGGGGGAGGAGAGGGAGGGAGAGGGAGAGGTGGGGGAGGGGGAAAGGGAAAGAGAAAGAAGGGAAGGGGAGAGGGAGGGGGAGAAGGACAGAGAGAAAGGATGAGTTCAAGGAGTTGACAGGGCCCAGATACAAATGACAAGAAGACATATGGGGAATCAGTAAGACTGTTCAGTATGGAATTGAAACAAGAAATCAGGTAATACGATATATGAAGAAAATAGTCAAAAGATGACATCTCTTTATGTATTTACTTTCCTACCAGCCAACAATGCAGGCCCCAACTCGTGGCCTGAGTCCAGTTTTGCCTCTTTTATTTTAGAACCTGATTCTGCTTGTGCTTCCTGACTCAGCAACCTCAGGTCAACATTTAGGCAATCATGTGACCCTGGGTATGTCCACAATGAAAGGATTCATGGAGCAGCTTTCTACAGCTGATGGACCTGTGAGATCTGCTCAGGAGCAAGGACTCTCTCCCAGAGGTCCTGGAATAGGCCTGTCTAAGTCCCTGTGTTTTGTTGTGCTTTTTTTTTTTTTTTAACAGTGTCAAAGGTCCTTTGAGTTAGTCCCCTTCTAAAGTTGAGGTGGCAGTAGCAGTGACGCCAACTACTATGAGCGAGCTATCTGCGCTTCAGTTTCCTGGGATATCAAAATACTAACTTTCCTTCAGTGTTTAGATGAAATAAAATTAGGTGTTAAACCAATGAGAAAGGGAAATATAGATTGGCTCTTACAGGTGAAAAGATGAGAAAACTCATAGTAAGAAATATACTAATTAAAACTAAGTCATGGTTATGGTACTATTTTTTTTTGCCCAGAAGATTGGCAAACTAAGAAAAATGAGACAACACACCTGACTGAAGAGCCCATGGGGAAATACACTCTCATATGCTAAGGATGGAAGTGCAAAGTGACACACAAGCCCTGAAGAGGGGAATATATATCTCTATAAAAATTACAAAGGTGTATACATTTGACCCAGTAATTACACTTTGATGATTTTTCCTATAGATGTATATGTAAAATGATATTGTATGAAGCTGCTCATTGCAGAATTGCTTATAATAGCAAAAGTCTGAAAACTACCAATTACCCATCAATAGGCTACTGGGTTAAATAAATCATGGTATATTCATATAATGGGATGTTGTGCAACTGTAAAAAAAGAGTGAGAAAGAGAATATATGGAGAAAAAAACCAAGGTGCAGAACAACAGGTATAATATTAAAGGGGAGGGATAAGAATATATATATAATTGTGTATACATGAAGAAATGCTGGAAAACATTCAGGGAACTAGTGGCAGTAGTCAACTCTTTGTGAGTGAGGCTAGAGTAGGGCTGTAGGAGATTGAGATCAGAGAGAGGATAGCACAATTTTTTTTTTTTTACTAAATACTATGTAGGGAAAAAGAACATGTTAATGTTAGTTATATGTTAGTCATGAGGGTAGAGATGAAATAATTTCTAGATCTATTTGGCATCTTGGAAGGAGCCTGGGCTACCTTCTGCTATAGGAGAATGCAGTTAGGAGCTACAATTGGTTGCCTCCTAGGTTTATTCACTGACCTAAGCAAACATCTTAACTGCTTTGAGTGTTCATTTATCTAGATGCACACTAACAGGTTGCAGTGATTAATAAAATAATACAGGGTGGAGATGGAAAGTTGCTAATAAGAAAGTTATTTAATTAAGACAACTCAAACTTCAGTGTCAAACCTAATTTGGTCACAAATGGGAAGACAAGGGGAAGCAGCAGGAAATCATTCCCAGGAAATACAAGTGCAGCTCTCTGTAGCTTTCCCCCAAGAGTCAGAGAACATCTGAATTTGAGCAAGACCAAGTTTGTCAAGAGAATCTTGTGAACAAGGTAACAAAACTGGGTGGTTTTGTGGATTGAAATGTAGCAACAGGAGGCAGAGTCATAACCAGGTAAATAGTCATTCTCACACGTTGCTTTTGAACAGGCTGTGTTCATCATAAGAGGGTGTTGTGCTATTCAACAATCTTAATCAACAATTCGGATGAAAACACAGAAGCCTAGCTGGTTAACCTTGAAGTACCCAATGCTGAAAGGGGAGCTACTGGATGACAGAATCAAGATTGGAAAATGACCTCAATGGGTAGATGAGTCAAAGTCAACAAGATGAAAAGGGGATAAATGTGAGGCCTGGGACTTAGGCTCAAGGACATGAATTACACCAGAACAGGACAATAGGAACTTGGCTTGGCAGCATCAAGTGTGAAAAGGGCTTAGGGGATTTAGCTGACTTTAAGCTCCAGATGAGTCAGCAGTCTGAAAGAGTCTAGTTTAAAAAAAAAAAAACAAAAAACACCAACATAACTCATGCTTCTTTGAGCTGTAGAGCTGCATTAGTATAACCACAGTTCCCCAAACCAGAAAGCCAACAGACCCTCTCAGATTTGTTCAGTTCATACCACAGAAGGATGCAAATCAGCATAAAGGTGGCTTACTGTTCCCATTTTTGTAATTTAAAACTCTATTTTACAAATGTTAACTCACTTAACCCTAATGATGCACCTAGGTGCAACTACTATTCCTTACTGGCAGCATAAACCAAGTGACACAGAGAGGTTAAGTAACTTCTTCAAGATCACACAGTTAGTAAAGTGGTAGAGTGGGCTTCTATGACTAGAAGTATCAGCACCATCTAAGGCTTTCTTAGACATGCAAATTGTAGTACCCCAGCTGCTTCTTTTAAATCAAAAGCTCTCAGGAGGTTGTAGGGTACATGAATCTATGTTTTAATGAGTTCCAGATGAGTCTGATGCATTCTTACATTTGACAATCACAGCACTACACTATTTTACCTCCATGTGAATCAGGATGCTGTCTTAATCATCTCTTATTCTCTAGATTGCTCATGAATGAGATTTTTTAATTCAGTAAATGTATCTATGAATTCATGCAACAAATCTTGACTGTGCACCATGGACTCACATCTAAGTACAAAGAATAAAAAAAACTTGACAGTGGGAGACAGACATGTGATGAACTATATCATATAGTATGCTAGGTGCTCTGAAATACATACTGGGTTTACAGCCAAGAAAAGAATTAATTTGTCTGGGCAAGTGGGGAGGGGCAATTATAGAAGCTTTCAAATAAAGATAGTGTTTCATTTTTTCCTCATCCCATAAGATGAGAGAAGGAATTTACCATGATGACTGTGTGTGAAAAGGGGGTAATTAGAAGTCATTCTCAGATATTAGTCTGTTCACTGAATAAATGAATGAGTTAACTGATGAGTGCTACTTAACCATGGCAAGTGCTTCCTCAGAAAGACATCAGCTGGATGCTTCTCCCCCAGATGCTGGAGGAGGGCCTCCCCAGCATTTCTGGGGGAGGTGTGTGTGTGACCAGATCATCTCTAAAAATCTTATTATCTCTAATATGGGGTGAGATTTCCCAACAGGGAACCTATCTTTTAAAAAGCATATTTGCCTAGGCCAAGAAGCCATGAAGAGTCCAAAAGATAGGGAGGTTTTAGAATATATTTCTAAGAAATCATAGGCCAAAGAATGTATGATAGAAAAGGTTTCAAGAGCAAGATTCAATTGGATCAAGATTGCAGATGACTAGAAGGAAAGACTGAAAGCTAACTGACGGAGCATTAGATGAGACACTGAACAAAAGGAATGATTTAACCCAGGTTCTTATAAACAACAACATTATGTCACTGGTAGAAAGCAAAAGAAAATAGCAATGTCATTAGTTGGTGATCTACAACAAGGGTAAGAAATGATAAAGGATATGAAAAAACAAAAAAAAAAATATCTTCCAAAGGACAGGAAGCACAGAACATGTTGGGACAGTTACAAAGGAGATGTGGCAACCCCTGAACACTTATTTGGGGTGATTTGTGGGATGCTGAGGTGGGCATCCCTCAAGTCTGCTCAAAGATATCTTCCCCAGGTCCCTGTGGGGGTGAGAAAAGTCTCAGAGTCAAGACTATGTTGACTTGGCTGACTAGTTTGCCACCTCTCCTCTTCTATCAACCCCAGCTTCCCCAGTCCCTTCTTTCTCCTATTCTGTCAAATGCCTCTTATTTATCAATCCATCAATGTCATAACTTCTCGAGTCAATGATCTGGTAAATGACTCTATGTAGACAAATATTTGAATAGATATGAGAATAATATATGCATGTGTCCCTGAGTTAGATTATTTTTATGTCTGTGCATGTCCTTATGAGGACATATAAGTACATTTTTCTGTAGAGACTTGGGTGAGAATGGCTTATTTTATGCACCAATGTCTCACTGTATCTGCCTTTAGGCTGGAAAATGAATGGGAAGAGAAAAGATTAGTTCTGAGTGTGTATATATATGTGCATCCTTGAGCATATGTTCTAAGTCCAATTCTAAGTTTGTGTTTTAACAGGTACAGGAATCCTTGTTGCCTTTTGCTCTCAAGAAAACTATTTTCCCTTTCTTTGCTCCTAGCTAATGCTAGCTCTTCCTTGGCAGCAAAGTGGGCAGCTAGCATCAATATGGGGATAATCTTTAAGTCAATAATATGTTAGTTTACTAATAGCTTCTGGACCAGTGAATATCCCACATGTCAGTGATGAACAAATTAGCATATTAGCCAAATCTAGGTAAAACCATTCTGGGAAGGGTTTGAACTTTCCTCCAGTAAGTAAAACTCACCATATATCAAGTGTAGCTAGCCACACACAAACTGAAATTAATGGGCAGTACATCTCTTTAATTTAAAGTGAAATGGTAGCATGTTAGTAGGCAAAAATGTTAGATTTCTAAATTTCTTAGTGTTATTTAAGTAGGTCTTTTCAGCTGAGACATGTGATTTTGATCTTGACAGCCCCCATTCTTTAATAATGAGTGACTAAAGAAGCAAATGAACAACTCAATGGCATAAAGGAGAGTCTCAGAAGTAGATGGGGAAGCAGAAGTGAACTCAAAAAGGTATCATTAGCAAGTATCTAGGAGCGACTCATCCCTTGATTTCAATCATATATGGAATATAAAGAAACAAAACAAAAAAACAAGTAAAACTAAACCCAAAAAAAACCCTAGAAATTCAACTGCAGAACTGATATTTACCAAAAGGGGTGTGTGTGTGGGAAGGTTTGGGGAGCACAGGGGAGAGGAAGCCAAAAGGGCTATGGCAAGAGATTATTAGTGCTTGGGTGGTGGGGGTGGTGTGGTAACATACAACTGAAGAGGTGTAAACGTATACCCCTAAATCATATAGTGTTTTAACCCAATATTACCTCAATTAAAAATAAAACAGTTCTAGAAAGAATAAATTTTGCCTGTGGTGGCATACAATTTTTCAATAGGCTCAAAGACTAGGGATTTAGTTTTGTGGTCCTTGGGGTGATGTTTCAGGATACACAGTCCCTTTACATAGGATCACTTATCCTCCCAATAGACAGTCTCAATTCCCATTAGCGGGTGTGGAAAGTGAAGCTCAGAGACCTACCCAAGTTCACCTAGCTAGCATGTGACTAAAACTCATGTTTCCCTGGCCCTTGTATTTTCCCTTACACCATGCTGCCTCCATGTCTCATGGGGTCGTAAATGAAAACCCCATAGAGCCTCCCCGGTGGCTCAGTGGGTTGAGCGCCGAGCTGTGAAGCTGTCCGCAGCCTCTGCAGCGTGGGTTCAATTTCCGGCCGGCCAGGGAGGAAACCCACGTGGCATGGCAGACCTCCTCTGCCTCACCTGCTGCTCCCCTCAGCAGTGTCTTTGGTCCGTCTGCCTGTCCTGCTTCCCACTGTCTCTGGTGAATTCTCTCACCCTTCCGCGCCTCTGACTGTACCCAGTTCTTCTATAAACAAATAAATCTTTAAAAAAAAGAAAACCCCACAAAACTAAACAAAGTATCCCTATCATCTGCTCCTGCTTTCTCTGTTCTCACATCTCTAGACCGCCTGATAGAAGACTCTACAAAAGTTTACTCTTGCTGCCTTGATATCATTACTACTTCCTTTTGATGTAACCTTCTATAATTAGTTGACATGCCTGATGTTTTCTGATCTCTGTTTCTATCACTTCTTTGATGCTTAGCATATACTACTTTAATTTGTCAACTGTCATATAATATCAGTATCTTGGGTCCACAGTAACCATAAGCTCTGTCAACACCCACATCTTGGATGTGGCCTGCTAACACCCTATGAATAGAGTTCTTAATAAATAGCTAATGTCCAGGAATTGACAAACCATCAATAGGGTGCATTGGAGCAATAATCATGTCAATATCAAATTTTGGGACAACCTCAGTGTTAGTTTTCATTTTAAAAGTAATAAAACCTGGGTCTTTATACAGTTAGTTAGCCACCTGGATGCAAACAAACTTATTTCATGGATTAGCTAGTGTCTGGAAATCATGAAAAAGCTGAAATGAACGCTGATCATAGAAACAATTGTAATAGCAGCTACAGAGAAAATGCCCACATACATAAACACCATTAACATCAACACCATTCAACATCTGGAAGGTTTGTAAAGAGACATGAGCTATATCTATAAACATGCACATTCATTACCCCCCCACCCCAAGTACTTGACTAGCTGCGGAGAATAATTCAATCACAATTATTTACCCTAGCTGTTGCACCTTATCTACTTCCCCAGTATATTTTGAGGTTAAAGTTTACTACTCACCATCCCCTTTGGGGTCGCTGAGGGCAGTGGGAGGAATGACTGATGACCGATGACTCCCAAACCAGCATTCCTTGGAAAACCGTCTGCGACAGTCATCGTGCACCTGAAACGACAAGAGAAGAACAGAGAAAAACAGGAGGGGAGAGAGAAGAAGATAATGATCAGTCTTGAGCTCCAATTCCAAAATTTGAGTGTTCAATATTTAAATCTCCCTTTCTGAGATTTTGTGCCATACACATGCCCCTGGTTCAAACTGGACACACTTTCTCTCTACTTCAGATCTACACCATCCCTGTGTGGCCTTTCCACTATGTTATTTTCAAAGGTAGCTTTCAGAAGATACCTATCAGAGATACTGAAAAGACACCAGTCCTAGTGTACATTGCAGTGGCCTAGAGAAAGGGGAGCTTACTTGTGCTATGAGTGTTAATTTTTATAATATGTTATTGCACTTCAATCCTTACAACAATGGTGTGTGGTATGAGATACATCATTAGGTTCACTTTAGAAATGAGGATATCAAAGCTCAGAAAGGTAAAGGTTATTGCTCAAGGTCAAACAACTGCAAAGTGACAGATGAAGTTTCTGCCTTTCCCACCAGTGGCCATCCTCCCCATATTTTTAATATCTTCAAGCACCATACCCTGGACAATTATACACTTCCAAAAGGATACAAACTTGGCCTGACTATACAAACACAATTAAAAGCAAGCCAGAGGACAACCAGAGTCATCTTTTTATTGAAATATAATTGACATGTTACATTAATTTCAGGTGTTTAACATAATGAATATGGCTAGTTAACATCCATCACCATACACAGTTAAATTTTTTTCTTGTGAAGAGAACTATTAAGATCTACTCTCTTAGCAACTTTCAAATATGCAATGAAGTATTATTAACTGTAGTCACCCTGCTGGACATCATATCCACAGGACTAATTTAATTTCTTACTGTAAGTCTGTACTTTATGATCACCTTTACCCATTTCTCCCACCTGCAAGCCTTTGTCTCTGACAACCACCAATGAATTATCTGTATCTATGAGTTCAGGGATTTTTGTTTTTAGATTCCACATACAAGTGAAATCATATAGTATTTTTCTTTCTCTGTCTGATTTATTTAATTTATCATAATGCCCTAAGGGTCCAGCTGTCACAAGTGGCAAGATTTCCTTCTTTTTATGACTGAAAAATATCCCTCTGTGTGTGCATTTGTGTGTATCACATTTTCTTTAGCCATTCACTTATTGATGAACACAAAGTTGTTTCCATGTCGTGGCTATTGCACATAAAATTGCAATGAATACTGGAGGTGAATATATCTTTTTGAGTCAGCATTTTTGTTATCATCAGATAAATGATAGCTCATTTTTAGTTTTTTGAGGAACCACCATATTGTTTTCCACAGTAGCTACCCCAATTTATATTCCCACCAAGAGTTCACAAAGGTTCCCTTTGTTCCACGTTCTTTCAAGCACATATTTCTGGTATTTTTTTTATATAATAGTTTCATTCTAACATGTATGAAGCAATAACCCATTGTTGGCCATCTGTTTAACTTCTTGGAAAAATGTCCCTTCAGATCCCCTGCCCATCTTGAAACTGGATTGTTTGGGTGTTGTGGTATCTGTTGTTTATCTTAGTTTCATTGATCTTTTCTATTTTCTTTTAAATCTGTATTTCATTATTTTTCCTTTGATATTTATTATCTCCTGCTCTCTATTAACTTTGAGTTCTGTTCTTTTTTTTTTTTTTTTTTTTTTGCTACTGAGTTTTGCTATTGAGTTGTATACATTTTGGATATTAACCTCTTATTGGATACATGATTGCAAATATTTTCTCCAATTCAGCAGGCTGTCTTTTCATTTTGTTGATAGTATTTTTGCTGTGCAAAGGCTTTTTAGATTCATGTAGTTCCACTTGTTTATTTTTGCTTTTTTGACTTTGCTTTTGTTGTCAAGTTCAAAACATTCATTCCCAGGACTGATGTTAAAAAGTTTGTTATCCATAATTTCTTCAAGGGGTCTTATGATTCAGCTCTTACATTCAAGTCTTTAATCCACTTCAGTTAATTTTTGTGTTTGGTGTAAGATATGGACAACTTTTATTCTTTTGCATGTGGCTGTCAGATTTTCCTAGCACCATTTATTTAAGAGACTGCTTTTTCTCCATTGTATACTCTCAGTTTCTTTGTCATAAATTTTTAAAACAAGTTTTTATTGATGAAACATGGTTTATAACATCATGTACTACAGAAGCTGGCAAAAGCCCAAACAATAAAATCACATAAAACCAGAATGCCACCTGCTGGAAAATAAATGTAGTTTAAATCTCTAAGTTACTACTACAGAGGGTTTAAAACAACAACGACATGGAAATCAAAAGCTACAAAATGGCAGACAAAAACATAAAACATATGGCACCTTGAGACCTCCAGTGACTATGTCATCACAATGAGAGATCAACTCATCATAATCCACCCACAAATGCATACAAAATTTTAACTTCCTAATTTATAGAGTTCAAAATTTCCATAATGAAGAAAATCAAAAGAAAAGTAATTCAAAGTAATACAAGAAAAAGAAGAAAAGCTCATCAAAGAGATAGAAAATTCAGAAAAACAAATTAATGACCTGAGAAATAAAATTAGTGACCAGAAAAGAGAAACTGAAGCTTTAGAGAAGAAAAAAACTGATTTGAGATGTAAAAAGCTCAATAGATGAGATAAAAAATCTAGAGAAAGCTATGGAAGCAGAATAGATAAAATGGAGGATTAAACTAGTGTTTTCAAAGATAATGATGCAAAAATGACCCAGACAGAATAAGAAAAGGAAATTATGACAAAAGAAATGAAGAAACACTTCAAGAGCTATTCAACTCAAGTAGGAAAGGCAACCTAAGTATAATAGATATCCCAGAAGAGGAATATAGAGGGGTAACAGGGAACATATTCAAATAAATAATAAAGGAAAACTTCCCAAATCTGGGGAAGGCTCTGAATATAAAACCAGGAAGCTAAAGAAATATCTGGAAATATAAATGTAATGAGATCTACACAAAGGCACATAGTAGTGAAATTATCAAGAGTTCAAGATAAAAAAATATTGAAGATGGCTAGGGAAATAAAGCAGGTAACCTATAAAGGTACTCACAACAGGCTTACATCAGACTTCTCAGAAGAAAACCTACAAATAGGAGAGAAAAGGATGACATACTCACGGCGCTCAAACATAAAAATTTCCAGCCATTAATATGATATACAGAAGGCCTTTAAAGGCAAATGAAAACTAAAGGATTTTGCAAACACTAGAACTTCCATACAAGAAATGTTGAAAGGAGAGTGATCCAAATTGAAGGGAAGAAAATCAACAACAAAAAAAAATTGAACATGAAAATAGATACAACCAAAATTGAAAGACAAAATGACAGGATTAGACTCTCATATATCAATATTCACCCTAAATGTAAATGGCCATAACTCACCAATCAAAAGGCACTGAGTGGTTGGCTAGATCAGAAAACAAAACAGGGCCTCCCTGGAGGTGCAAGGGGTTAAGCATCAGCACTATGAAGCAATCGACAGCTACTGCAGCACGAGTCTCCTGTCATGGCCACTGCTCCCCTCAGCAGTGTGTTTCAGTCAGTCTGCCTGTTCTGTTCCCCACTGTTTCTGGTGAATCCTCTCACCCTCCCACCCCCGCACCACTGGCCTTCACCCCAGTTATTGTATGCATAACCAATCAATCAATCAATCTTTAAAAAAAAACACAGGAGGGCCTCCCTGGTGGCCTAGGGGTTAAGTCTCAGTGCTATCGCCACTATGGCCTGAGTTCAATACCCAGCCAGGGAGCTAACCCACATGTGGCACAGCAGACCTCTCCTATCTTGTTTGCTGCTTCCCTTGGCAGTATATTTTAGTAAATCCGCCTATTCTTCTGCTCCAGCTCTGTCTCTGGTGAATCTTCTCACCACCCACACCTATGGCCATCACCCCAGTTCTTCTATGTCAATAAAAGAGGAAAAAGAAACAAAATACAGGAGACTCTTCTAAGCTCTGAAGCTAAACATAGGTTCAAAATATATGGGTGGAAGCAACCAAGAAAAAGGCACAGATAATCATATTTATATCAGATAATATAGATTTGCAACTAAAACAGGTAACAAAAGACGGGTATCAGCAGCGATTAAGTGATCAATATATCAGGAAGACATAACATTCTTTTTTATTATTTCATTTTTCATTTTTGCACAATGTATACATTTCATCTTGGTTATATTCCCCATACAATTCCCACTCCTCTTTTTTTTGACCCTAATCCCTCCTGCCCTCCTTTACCCCAGCCCCCTGTAGTGTGTCTCTAGTTTATAGTTGCTTGTTGATTTTGATTTTTACTTTAATATAATTAGTCTTTTTTCCTGGTCTCTTATTCAGGTTTTCTAAATTCCTGCTATAAGTGAGACCATCCGGTATTTTTCTTTTTCTTTCTGGTTTATTTTGCTGAGTATGATCCCTTCCAGCTGCAAATGACATGAGTTTATCTTTTCTGATTGCTGAATAATATTCCATAGGGGATATGTACCACATCTTCTTGATCCATCTATTTTTGGGCATCTGGGTTGTTTCTATAGCTTAGCTATTGTAAATAGTGCTTCTATAAATATAGGGGTGCAGGTGCCCTTTGGAATTAATGTTTCTGTGTCATTTGGGTAAATACCTAGGGGTGGGATTGCTGGATCTTATGGAAGCTCCATCTTTAGCAGGTTGAGGAATCTCCACACAGCTCTCCATAGTGGTTGGACCAGTTTGCACTCCCACTCTCCACATCCTTGCCAACATTTGTTGTTGCTAGTTTTTTGAATATGTGCCACTCTCACTGGTGAAAGATTGTATCTCATTGTAGTTTTGATTTGCATTTCCCTGATTACAAGCGATGTTGGGGCCTCCCCTGGTGGCGCATGCGGTAGAGCGCCACGATGTGAAGCTGTCCACACTGGTTCAATCCCGGCTGGCTGGCAAGAAACCCACATGGCAAAGCAGACCTCTCCTGTCTCGCCCGCTGCTCCCCTCAGCAGTGTATTTCGTCAGTCTGCCTGTTGTGTT